TTGTAATGCATCAGGCATTCCAATCACAGTAACAGATGAATCTTCAACAAGACCACAAGGGATTTCAAGAGTTGCATTCTGACTCCTTGATTTTGTGCCATTAAACGCACTGACATAGTACGGACAATCTACATCCTCTCCAACTTTGTTTACGTTGGAGGCCTTATCTTCCTGAACGGTTGACAACAACTCTTTCCAAACTGCAGCGGCCTCTTTGATGCCCTGCAGTGTTTCAGGCAATGCATCTGACCTGGATAATAAAAAGCGCATTCGGCTCCATACCTGCAACGCTTTTGACTCCTCTTTGGAAAAGTTCCCCAAGCTACCATACAAGGAGCTGAGCCCTTCAACATGGACAAATCGAGGCTTTCCTTTAAAATTAAGTGCCTTTATGACGTCAGTCTCAGCTGATTTCACATTATCATGGCCCTTCCTGCCTTCCGGGTTGGCATTGTCAGCAGGATGATTATTGAAAAAATCATATGCTGATTGCTTTTGTTGGGCGGACTTCCCAACGAAACTGTAACTAATAACTAAAATCAATGCAAGCCCTACGATTAAAACACCTCCAGTCCACTTTTTCATTCCCAAACTTAGCACGCACAACTATAGAGATAGATTCTTGGACCAATATTTATTGGAGTACGCAACAGTTGCAGGTCCGAGGCAGTTTGTAGTTAGAATTCCAAATGCGAACAAGACCTTATTCTTCAATCTTTAGATTTGGCCAGTTACCATCTTCAAGTTCAAGGATAATGTACTGAAACTAACCAACCAAAGAGAGAAGGAAAGCAAATCAATGGTGCAATCAATTAGATAAGTAAGTTCAAAACACCATCAGTCCACTTTTTCATTTTTAAAGCAATATTCTTGGATTACGGACATGACCTTAGATCTAGAATCTAAGGACTTTGCGCAATCATCTCCCCCAACTTGTAAGCAGGACATACTAAATTCTAAAACCCGCCAATCCAGAAAAGGAAACAAAAAAAATTGGAAAAAGGAGAGAAAAGAAGCAAAGGAAATGAATCTGCAAAAAGGTGGCTGAAAATGCTTTTGATGGATAGAGGGAGAGAGCTAAAAATTTAAAGTAGTGAGCGTGAATCAGAGTTCTTGAAAGCAACTTTTCTTGGGTCAGGGGTTCTGAAAGAGTTCAGATATGCGAAGAAGCCAAAAAAGTGTGCGCTTGAAAATGTAAAGAATCAAACAATAATGGTATGGTACTCCTACCTTTTTGAGCGCTTCTTGATGAGATGAAAGAGCTCAAGTGGAAGCTCCATTTGTAAATGAAGTAGATTTATTAGTAGAAACAGTATCAGCAGCAAGAATTCAGAGAGGGTTGCTTGATTTGGACCCTCGGTCTCCTCTGGTTCTACTTTTTGTCGTCGAAAGAGATGCAACCAACACTTGTGAGCTTTGGTTTCAGCAGTCGTTCTTTTTTTTGCAGTCAGATTGAAATTTTCTAGATTTATTGTGACAGAATTACAGTATCTGGGAGAAGTATTGCTCCGAAAAAAAAAAAAAAAAAAAAAATCTGGGAGAAGTAGACAACAAGTTGACAAGGGGTGAGTGAGTTAGTGTACCGCTATTTAATTTCTAGTGTTGGATGTCGGCAGTTGGATAATGCTCTGGTTTTTGTAATTCCTATCCTCTCAATAGATTCCTGCAATAAGAAGATACTCTTAACAGAACTTTATACTTCCCTCGTTAGCCATGATCCTCTCTGAACTCTGCAGAGATGACCAAATTGTGGTATGATTTATCAAAATACTACCATCATTACATGTAGAGGAGGGAAAGGAGCTGATTAGACGCAAATACGGCCGTGGACTGGGCAACATATATAAATAAATATAATCAATTATAAGACTCAACAGGTGGTATGGGTTGGGTTCGGCTCAGCTGCTCAGATCATTTTCTTTATTACCATACTATGACTACCTTACAGTAGTTCAAGGGGGCAAAAAAAAGAAAAAGAGAGAAGTGGAAAACATGTTCTTCCTTCCAAGAAAGTAACAACACTACAACGATTAAGTTTTACAACACTACTACGATTAAGTTTTACATTTTGGAGCAATTAGCAGCCATCTTGGAGAGCGTAGGATATTTTGGTCTCCCGGTCGTCCACCACTCAGGTGAGCATGTTGAAGAACGAACTCTTGGGTCTCCCGAATGAAGGACAGGCTCTTCCGAGTACCAAAACCCAAATTCTGATCGCGCCGCCTGCTGGGCCTGAACAAACTGTTAGTAGTCTTCCCCATTCCAAATGACTTGTTATGTTGGTAGGAATGACTGCTACTTTTCTCCTTCAGGTTTGGTTAGGAAGCCTTTTTGGTTAGGAAGATCCAATTTCTCCTCTTCTGAGTTGGAACTTCCAATTTTGTAGTCGCAAGGACACAAACTAAGGGCGCGCTTGGTTCAAGTCTAGAAATCGGAATTGTAATTAGAATCATGTTTACAAATTTAGTAGAACTTTGATCAAGTTATATATTTATAAGGTTTTGAAATCAAATTATTTTTATTTTATTTTATTTATTATTTTTCTTTTCCTTTTCCCGCTTCCTTCTTTCCAACCCTTACTTTGAATACTCGTGTTTCATTCATATTCTCTCGAATTAGCACTTAGGCTTAGTTTGGGAGTTTAGGATAGAAAAAAAAAAAAAAAGAAGGGAAAGCTTAAATTATGAGAAAAGAGAAGAGAAGAGAAGAAAAGAGATTGTTACGTTGTTTGGGAGTTTTGAGAATTAGTGGAATGATTTTGAATATGAAGGTCATTAAATATTTGTTCAAAACCTTTTTAAGGATAAAATAGACATTTTCAAAAAATTATCAAGCTTTCTCCAAGCTTTCTTCCCATTTCATTCCGATTTGGGAGGAAGCATATTGATAACTATTCATCCTTCCATTTCCTTTCTTTTCTTTCATATTAAAAACTAACAAATGAAGCAAAAGTTAACTTTCTCTTCTTTCCCTTTATTTTCTATCCAAATCATCCACTCCCAAACGAACCCTTAATCATCACCAATCAACCTTGCAATCTGTGGTGCATGAGAAAGCGAATGACAAAAAAGAGAGAAAGGCTTGCACAAAAAGGAAAAAAAGAAGAGAGAAGAGAGAGAACCAAATGAAGAGAAATGACTGCCATAGAGTATTAGAGGAGAAAGGAAGAGAGTGAAGAGAGAAGAAAAGGGAAAATGAGAGAGATTAATAAAAAGGGAGAGACAATCAGATAAGGTGAGGCTGCTGCCATGAAAGATTGGAGGAAAGAGAAAGGCTTGCACAAAAAGCAAAAAAAAGAGAGAAGAGAGAGAACCAAATGGAGAGAAGCAACTACCATAAAGTATTAGAGGAGAGAGGAAGAGAGTGAAGAGAGAAGAGAAGAGAAAATGAGAGAAATTAATAAAAAAGGAGAGATAACCAGATGAGATGGGGCTGCTTCCATGAAAGATTGGAGGAGTGAATGAATAGAGAAAAAAGAGAGAAAAGGATGATGATGAAAGCTTGCCGTAAAAGATGAGATGAGAGAGAAAAGATGAAAGAGAAAATCTAATGGTAAGATTCTATCATGGAGATTGGGATAAAGATGATATGTTTTCATTTCTTTTTTGAAGTCTTCAAGGCAAATTGAGTCAAATTTGAGAATATACCAAAACCCCTCCAATTTGTTAGGGATTGAGAACTCTTAAATTTTAATGATTCACTCCAAGATTTTGAATCCAATACATGTAATCCAAACAACAAGAATTGGAATTATTTCAATTCCTAATTCCGATTCCCTTTTACCAAACATCACCTAAGTCGAATCGAGCTTGGTTTAGTAATCATTTGAATTTGATTCGTCCAACTAGTCAAACTATATTTTGAATAGCGTTTCATATTCGATAATATTTATTAAAAAAATTCGCTCAAAGTCAGTTTGATAAAAAAAAAAAAAAATCAAATTTGAACAAAATTTCAATCCTGTTGAAATAATCAAACAAGATTAAACACTAGCATATTTCACTTCATTAGACTTGTTTATGCCCTTACCTTTGAGCATGTTCTAATACACAACTAGTAAGAAATAAAACACACAATTATCAACGTAATCAGCTCCGCCCTTTTCTCCCCTATAAGGCCGTGAGAAATATACACACAATAATTTCTCACTTAAAAATGGTGTGGAAATAACAGGTTATGAAACAGGAGACTGCTTGGTACAGCAACTCAACAAGGGTTGTAATCATTAAACACACAATCATTACGTAATCATTACAGCAACTCAGCAATTCTTTTGTCTCCCCAAGAAGCATCATTATTGGCATCTCAAATACTAGTAATACATACTAAAAACTGTTGAAGAAACCCCCATAAGAAAAAAGCCTGCGGTCTTTGTACATTCTCATCACATCTCAATTTATACTGCCACAGCACAACTTTTTCATGATGTAGAGTTTATCTTTATTTTCATTTGGTAATTGTGCACCCAATGGTTTTCTGCCGTTAATTATGGAGCAGTGTTGGTCTTGTGCGGTTGACCCGAATGTTTCATGCCCTTGTGTATTTGGAGTAGAAAAGAGTTCCTGGCTCCTATCAGGGCCGCGATTTGGCTCCCATTCCTTTATCTCAACTCAATTTTTTTGAACTCATTATTAAAACATGATATTTTTTTTTTATAACAAAGAAGATTTTATTACTAAATTTGCTAGAAACCGTCCAGCATAAATCACTCAACATGATTTGGATATTAAGTTGTAGTGGGAATTATTTGTGACTGATTGCAACTTGCAAGAATAGCGTATTAACCAAGAATGCAGCAGTTGCTCCTCAGCCGAGAGGGACGCTTACTTCACCGTCACTGTACATCTGTAGCCAACCCTGAATTGACTTTCATTTTACCCGTAATTTTTGAGCTTCATAAAGTTGATGTTTACCAACGATGAACCATCTGATCCATCCCACCACCACCAAAAAAATAAAAAAAATCAAAGTCAACATGCCCGAGAAATAGCCAGGCCTCATTTTGAATGCTTGATTACCATTAACCCCCAAACAATAACAATAACCGTACTACACATGTCAGCCTGACATTGTCAGATATGTCCCAGCTATCACGCTTTTGACATCATAACTACTCAGAAAGAAAACGAACGATTTCCTTGCAGACATCCAATAATGATTGGACTCCAGCTTTGCATAACGTAGCAGCCAATATGCCATCTCAGTCACACTACCAGTCTTACATATTATAGTTCAAATTGCAAATACAATCTGCTCCATCTTGTAGTAGATGACAGAATAAAGAGCATCAATAACTGGCCGGAAAACAAGAACAGGATCCTGGACAAAGAAGACTTCCAGATTATCTGGGAAAAGTTTCCACACGAGTTACCGATGAAACAAGAGGCATACACAATATATCTGCTGAGGAGCGAAGCCTTGCTATATGGACCTAAAAGCCTAAGTATAGACATTAAGATTACATGGCATGCAAAATGGGTGGCTAAAGCCATCCAATGCCCAGAATATATAATGGGAGGTAGAACATGTCCTGTAGCTTCTAACCTAAATTATCTTCATGTATTGCCATCTATGTTATGTACAATATTTATACCCATAAAACACATAAAATGCACCATACAAATACCAGAATCTGGAAGCCCATCATTGGGAGTACTTTCAACAATACGGCTCTTTGACCTTTTCTGCCCTCAAGCCAGAACTTACGCACCTGCAACCCAAAAACAATGGTGTCATACCCTAAACTCGTGTTGATTGGAACTTATGCGTTTGATGAGATCCAGATATACAGTAATATAAGATGCACTATCAAATTTAAGCTTCCGAGCTTCATCTCTAGTGACATTGTTTTAGGCCATTTTTGGTGACATAAAACTGAAATACTTTGGACAGAACCAAGGCAAATTGATGTTTGAAGCGTTAAAAGACTTTACCAGGAAGACATTAGATTCAACCCGTATCACGCACATACGCCAGGAAGCAGGATCGTCGCTTGATGTTCAGGTTATTAATATCAATGCTAAAAAAAAGGAAACCTAAAACCAAGTTTTTAAACTTCATGCCAAGAATTTTAAAAGATTCCACATTTAGAAGTCTGGATACTGAGGCAAGATTCTTAACATCCTTCAAGGACAATTTGGCAACATGGCCCACCCCCAAAAAAATACAAAAAAAAAAAAGCAAATTAGCTGATACCCAAGGAGAGTAGTGTGGAATTGGGTGGATTTCAGCTTTAGAAAACAAAAGAATAAAATGTAAATTACCTTCATAGTGATGCAACTTCTTGCAAAAAAAGCAATAACTGAGCAGTCTTCTAGATTGCATGGATGACCAGTAACAACTTGCAACATCTAATCACATAAACTATTTTCTTTTTATCATTCAATGTTCGCTAGTTCCAAATGTAGAAGTTAATGGTACTGATGCAGGCAACTGTTGCGGAGAGGAGACACAAACTCCATCTTTTGAAATTACTTCAGAGGCCATATCAGCAGTTGGAGAATATGGTTTTGTCACTTTCCTTTCACGCAATGCCTGGAAGATGGGAGAAAAATTAAAGATGAAACAAAGAGAACGACCACAATATGATCAAGGAAATTTATCTACAAACTCAATCAAAACACAATCAGCACCTGAAATTGACTTGGTCCATATGTAGACCTTGCTTGCTCAATTGAAGTATAAACCTCCATTGCCTGATTGGTGTCATGATTACATTTTATAACACGAACTTGATCCTTTGCCTCCAATGATCTACTCTGTAAATACACAACAAGCCGCGAAGGTGGAGCACTTGCATGATCTTTTTTCCCATGAGTCAATTCCATTGTCACAAGATCATTCCAAGCTACATCCCAAGAAACCGAACAAGGATCCCTTGCTGGGTTGAACTTCTTTTGAGCAATAATGTTGAATGGTTGCTAATAAATTAAGCAAGATGATGTGAGTATGGAGCCATCAAATGCTAGATAGGATTAGAAATTTAGTCAGGATTAAGATTTCTTTTGATATCTACCAGGTAGTTTGATTAAAGTTAAACTTACTTGCATCAAAATCACCCTTCGATGAGTAATAACAACAATTCGTCCCTTTGGAAGTAAGAAATGGTCTTCATAGGCATCCGTTAAGGCAAATTTTGCACGTACTTTGAACAGATCAACTTGGCTGAAAAATGATCCAGATTCTGCTAACTGCAACATTGCCTAATGTTTTGACAGAAAGCATACTCAGATTCCCAGGGCACTTCAAATTCGAATTAGCATGACAGCATTCTATAGAAAACTGATATCTTATGGCCCAAAATTGAATGCTATGCAGGGAAAACATGAATGAGCTCTTTTGATAAGCTAGTCAAGCACAATACACATTACAGTGTATAAGGACAGAACTTTTGTTTTTCACCTATTAATCTATCTTTACTGCACTTTCTAGATATTTCACATATTGTTCTATATCCTCGTGTTCTTACCCCCTCCACCACCTTTGCACACCTAAATCTGAAATTCCCCCTCCCTTTCCTGTCCTCCTCCCCACTCCCAGAGACATTAACCAGCTTCCTCTTACTTGCCTCCCAACCTACTCTAACATCATTCCAATACCCAGGCCCCCCAAATGCAATATTTCCCATGCCTTTGCATCCACCTCCCATCCACCACACCTGCAAAAGACCCACTGAAACCTCAATCAGAAAGCACACTGAGACAGACCATATCCTTGCCAAACCACCCCATGCACTCAGCATTATAACAGAAAAGCTTCCTTCCCATACCAGTGAAAAGCCATCAAGAATCCAACACTTTGTAATCACCCTCATCTGCACAATCTTTTCCATACCTCTGCTTCCTAACTACAACTCCTTGCCCAGATTTGGGGCATGGAATGTTGTTTGGTCCATAGTACAAAGGAGGGTTGTGGAGGATGATATGAGCAAGGTAAAAAGCAAAATACCTGTCCCTGCGCTTTGTATTCATCATATGGTCGAAGCAAATTATCACCATTAATTGCCCGAGGTAGCCGCCTCCTTAGGAGTTGATCTTCTGACGCAATTGCAGATGCTATCTTCATCCTCACAGCATTGGCACCTTCGGTAGTTTTTGATAAAAGATCTAAAACCCCACTAACAGGTTGTGCAGCAGCACCTATTAATCCTTTCCCAACACCCTGAACAAAGCCCTCAACACCTGAAGCTTTTGCGCCTTCAAGAGGCTTTGTTAAAATCCCAGTGACTCCACGGAAAAGGCCTTTAGCTAGCGCACCACCTCCATCCCGGATAACATCACCGAAATCCTCTACCCCCTTAGCATCCTGTAAAAACATGTGCATTTTGTGGAAAGAATGTAAACAGGTTTTTGGATGTACAAAGTCACACTTCCAGCTTGCGTAGGGAATTTTCACACTAGGAATGCATGTAAACCCAAAATATGATTTACATTAAAATTACAACAAAATTACTTCAGATTCAAATAGAATAGCATCGGTAATGGATAATTACTATCAAAATATCACATCTCATGGAATGCAATGTAACAGAAATGGGCTTTAGATCACTGCAAAAGTAGATGCACCCCAACCTCTACTATGCACATTAAAAACTACCTAAATTCTTCAGTTAATATTGAAGCCTTCATATGTATTACCATCTGGGTCCAAGAGAACTGCCCTCTGTTTAATAGGATAAGTATGTACTTGGACGTATTTGTTGCTCTTTTTTCATAATGTGAACGACTACTTTCATTGACAAAATCCACAATCTAAAAAGGTAACAGAGGATGTTGGTTGCTAAGGATTCAGAGTCTTAGATGCAAGTTGTTCTCAATAAGATCTTCGATATTACCACCATGTTGCATAACAATGAAAGAGAGTATTCCTGATGAACCTGTCTTTGTCGACTTTGTATAAATTTTTTATCCATCGACAAGGCTGCAACACCTTTGCTCATATGTCCAAGTGCACTACTAGCATTGCCAAGTATATCAACACCCGAGAGTAGCTGAAAAGGCTGGCTGAGAAGATCCTTTTTAATGTTTGAGATGGCATTAGCAACAAGAACACTATGCCGCATGCATACATTTTCCAAGAACCGCTCATTAATCCGGACCTGATTAAACAGTCAAATTATTGATCTCAGTCAGCTGCCAACAGTACCCAAGCACTTTGCATGACAAGAAAGAAATTATATCAACTGAGTGTTCCATATACAACCAGTGAAGTCATATACTATGGAAGACTGCTTAAGCAGTCGAGAGCATTCCAAATCAATTTCTTGTGATCTTGAAAGAGATTTATAGTAAGAACAAGAGTGTACTAGCTTCCCTCCTTCATCTTCCTCTTGTTCTTACTTCTTTAAATCTCTTTCAAGATCGCATACAACTCAATAACTTCAAGAATCTACCACCAGAAACACAAGAAGACTGATTAATTAGCTGAAGGTTTCATGTTAGAAACCAACAAATAAGGAACCAGTCACTAAAATTTGAGAAGAACTGACAAGCTTACAAGATATACCATCCAATTAAATTACAAGATCAAGCAGGAGCAGAAACTTAACTGGCATATTTTCCATGTTTCCAAGTGCAGTCATCAAGCTTGACCAAAAACCAAGGACACCAACTGGGCGCTGACTGGGGGACATAGCCATAGTAACCTTGAATCGAATCTCCGAGAAGTTTAGAACACTGTCAATTTGAAAATTTCCAATTACAAGAAAGTTCACAGAAGCAATATTGGAGATTTGCTGTACACATAAAGATCCAAAGATCAAAAAGTAATGTTTTAATACCCAATCTGGATGATAGGATCAACTGAAACAGAAGTGCTCTGGGCATCAGATAACTGACTAAGATTGGCCTGCTGGATCATTCCATGAATGCGCCATATGATCGGTTCAGGGATGTTGATCAAAAAAGCAGAATTTTCAAGTCCCTGAGAGGATGTTAGTACGTACTCAACCATCAGTAAATATCTTGGTAATCACTAGAAAGACATAAAATAAGGAAGCTGTATCAGATCACTCACCTGGAAACCTATATATGGATATACATGTAAATCCAACGATCCATTTGATTGCTGGGTGAGGGAAAATTTTAAGAGATAATCATTCTCCTCTCCTATTCGCTGTGACCTGAAGAGAACTGGCATTGGAGTCAAAGGCAACTGATTATCCACCTGGATCCCATGCATTCTAATTTTGAGCCTGCAGTAAACTAATTTAACATTAATGGTTTGTGAAGATAACAGTGCTTAGTTACTACGTGAAAGCATCTAGTAGAAGCTATGAATGCCCAAACAGCGAGAAATACCATTAACCTTGTTAGCAGTCACCAGAACACATTACCTACTGATTCCAGAGCCAAGTCCAGTTGAATGAGACAGCAAAAGATTCTGGACCGACATATATAATATCTCTTCAGGTGTATGATCAATTATAGACAAACCAAGCTCTGAAACCTCAACAATGAAATGAAATTCACATTCTGGGGTGGACATCGATTGCCGAGGCTGCAAATAATTTCCAGAGATGTGTAACATAGAAGAGGAAATGCTATTGAAAGTTGCAGAAGATTCATTTTCAGGCATCCAGTCGCTGATTTTAACAACATTTGTTTTCTCTTCTTTCAAAATAGTAACGCGTAAAGTGAATATATTTCCTCCACCAACATGGATAGGCTCATGATCAAATATCTCATCGATATTGTACTTCTGTGATGTGCCAGAGTCACTTCCATCTACTAAGATTTCCAACATTCTTTCCCTATCAAGATCTTCCCATGAAAAGCAAGTAGATGAATTGGGCAGAAGAAACTTCCATGAATCACTGGAACCACCTACTTGCCGAAAACGTATTGGCAAAAACAAAGACCGATTCTCAATCCTACAAAATAAAAATTAGCAATTATTGAGCTTCTACTATTCACTGCAGATAACAAATCATAGAGAAGGGTTGGAAAATCGTAATTCACATCACATAATTGATGATTGAGAAAATAAAGATATATGAATTAAAACAGCTGCAAAAGGAAGCTTTTAGAACTCATTTTTTCATCCAAAAGGAAAAAACTGAGGCCTATTTTACTACTCATTTCAGCAAAGAAAACAAAAAACTTCAAGTTATAAAGTTTTCATCATGTTATTTTATGAATAGTAGACTTCCCATCTCCGAGAACTATTCTGGACTTTCCTCCCAATACAAGTCTCCATTTTCAATGAATGAGCTGTGTTTCGCATTCTCCCGACCATTTACCCAAAAAAAAGAGTGGTCAAAGCTATATTTAGCAGGATCAGAATTTAAACATCAAAACCACTTCGAACATATACTCATTAGCAAACTTAGGCAAATTATGCAGTTGTAGGACTCTATGTCCTATAAAAGTTGTCAGCAGAGGTAATCTTCATTCCAATAAACAAAGTTACAAACATATCAGATTTTTACTTGGTACTGTTTGAAGAAACTCTTAAGAAGCAAACAGTGATGCAAAGAAAACAAGATGACAGAACCTGTAAGGACTCGAAAAGAAATTTGGACGGAATATAGCTTCGTAGCGAGAGCCCTTCATTCCACTTCTAACCTCAACCCTGAGAGGCATTTGGTCTGTTCCAGTTTCACTTCTCAAGTGAATAGACATCATCCCCTCACTATTAACACTAAATGGTGCACTCCATTCATATCCATCCAGCCGCAACTGGTTTTGGCAAAGACAAAGAAAACATGATTTGCCGTGGGGAAGACAGAATAGTGTTCAACATAAAGCAGACATTATATATCTATCAAGGGCTTGCTGATTTTTTCCATTTAATATAGGTTTGACTAAGTGGCAAGAAAACTTTTGCAACAACCTACCTTTAACAATTCCACTTTTGTGGAGTGCCAACCAAAACATTTAGGAGTATCACTAGGATGGATCCATTCTGTAGACTGAGTATCACATTGCTGCAGGCAAACACTGCACCCAACTCTGTTAATGAACAATGTATGTGGTTGAAAATGCACGACCTGCATAATCAAACAGCTCATACTATTCAGTCACAATTAAGCCAGAAGACACTGCATATGAAACCAGCACTCTTTACTGAAAAAAATAAGTACCAAGCTAGGAGATGTAGAGTACAGCTGTTGTCTTTTTTTACATTCTTATCACATACATCTAAGATAGCCAAAGAACATACTCACCAACAGCTTGTAAAATGGTCTCATTTGATCAAAATATCATGATTACTACCCAAAAAGGAATGAAGTTATAATTAATAAGGCTATATCATACAATTTCAAGATACAAATTCACTAAAAGGCCTTGAATTACCACTGGCAAATCAGTAAGGTTCTAGGGTAACGACATAAACGGATGAAACTAGTCATACCTTGATCTATAAGCAAATTTAGCAATACAAACATGAAGGTAAATCGAGCACTTAAGTACAGTTTGCCACCTGGTTGCAGAGTTAGAAGCCAAAAAATGATGCACATGCAAAAGTATACCTTTGTTCTGTCTGACGTCATGTTCAGCAAAGCTGAAAGCTTATAATAATATCCTTCAGAACCAAATGCCTTTAAATCAACTCGTTGCTGGAAGAGAAATAAAACTGTATAAGTGCCGCTTGTCATAAAGAAAAAAGACGAGCTTTAAAGCCATCTAAGAGACTTTGACAACATTTATCCATGTTACCTTTTTCTCCAAATCAAGAAGAGATATCCCTGCACTAAAATATTCAGATGAACGAAGAGCAACAGAGATCCCCACACGTGGGGACAGATAGTTATCATTCCGTGACGAAAACAGCATTACACCACCACGGCCAATATAGTCTTGAGGAGAGAGCATGCTGGGTACCGGACTAGTGTCTTCAATTATTTCAAGCACTTGAACATTCTTCCGTGAACTAATCTGTCTCCCAAGCAATGAACCAGGAGTTGCTTTCATGGCTATTTTTGCAGATTTAGCTTTTGACAGTGCAAGAGAATCCACATCTGCGCTCTCCAGTGGTTCAATTTCCACTACTTGATATGCTAATGATAATGAGGTATCATTGCTAATCCAATATGGGACAAAAAGCCTTATGGTCTTTGGGGAAGCATTTGACCCCCCAATGTCACGCTCAATGCTTACTCGCAACCTCCTGCACATAATCAGGCACAATAAAGCTGCAATAGATCAGGTCTCAATCAAATTACCATGTAAAAGGTCCAACAATTTGCAAGGACCTGAAAAGGCAGGAACTGAAACTGACATTCAGAATCTGTTTTTGTCCAAGATTGGGCAAGCCTGTTTTACTCATGAGGTGATTGTTTTGAGTATTACTGAACAAATATTTATCAGAGAATGAAGAACAAGGTTTCAAATTAAAATCATCACAAACCTAATTTAAGCAACAAAAAGGCTATGCATTAAAATCGTTGGAAGACCACTTAGTGATCCTTGTACTCAAGAAGCTCCTTTTCTATCTTTGCTTAGGAGTAAAGCTAGATCTTCCTTAACGTCAGCTGTCATATTAAACTTTGATGGACCCCGCAGTTCTGAACTACAATGAAGAAGAAGACTGCCAGCAGATATCTTACAGGCTACCAATTTGCGAACATCAAGCCACTAGTAGATGCTGCATAAGTTTTATTATCGTATGTAAGTTATCAAATTTAGAATCACCTACTTCCAAAGTCAAAAGAGGTCATCCAATCTTATAAAAAAATCCTTAGGATAAAAAACAAGAAATCCATATGCAGAGCAGCATCCCCAGAGAAAAAAATTAGGACTTTTCAGAAGAGGAACTTATACACAAAGTAGCATCCACAGAGCAAAGAAATTAGCTCTTTGTAACAAATTGATCTCCAACCAAATCAGCCAATGTTTTTTGTTACATCCAACATAACATTGGCCACTGGATCTTGTTATTGGAATCTGTCAAAACATATCATTCATTTTCCTTAAATAAAGTTTGCTCAGGAGCAATACTACACATAAAATAATTATCTAATATGTCTTTTCCTATTTATGTAGTCAATAGTCCAATGTAAAGAAAAGCCAGATGTTAACTGGGGGAAGGAAATTAAGAAACAAAATCACATAAGCAACTGGCTTAAATTCCTGGTATCTATGTTTAGTCACATGCTGAAAATGTTCGATACATGGTGTAGTAAGTTGCATAGATTAATCGTGCTCACAATCCGTAAAAGAAACAGTAAGATAGTAAAATCACAGGATTCACCTACACTTCCAAGTGTTCTTCTACAGTAAGAAAATCAGCAGGAAAACTGAAATTTTATGTGCTTGACCTGTTCTTTTGCAAACACATTATTGGATCGAATCATCTTGTATTCCTTTTTCTTGAACCCTTCCTGGAGCTTAGTATTAACTACCACAGGTTTGGAATTACTTACGGGTTCAGTAAATACAATAAAATTAGAAGAATACTGAACATTGCATAATTGACAAAACTATCAATCATAGAATCTGGTGTATTGACTACTCTAAAAACATCGTCAGACAAAACCGAATTTCCAAACATCAAAAGGCATTAAGATTACATCGCATGGCTATTTCCAATACATCATTCCCACTAACAAATAAAAATACTTCACGGCAATTACACACACCTTTACCCAAAGAAAAGTTTTGGAAGAACAAACCTTTTTCTCTGTCTTTGAACCATCCAAAAAGAAGCAGCATGACTATTACTAGCAAGATCCAAAATGAGAACATCCTGCAATACAAAATGAAGATGTGAAAGTGAATTAACAAAAATTATTCACAAGATAATAAAACCTTGTAGATTGATTATTATGTGGACCATGAGGAATGTGCATGTAACGACACATTGAAAATCGCAATTCACACCTTTTCTGCAATCCAACCCCCTTGAAGAAACAACTTAAGGTATATTGGATTTCGTATGTCAGCATGATACATATGCACAGTTCCACGGGATTCTATAAAGCCGCGCTGTCGCTCTATGTTGTTACCATCTTTTATTTTCTCCCAAATAATGTATTCAGCTCCACAAGGAAGTCTATTTTCCAATTTCAAAGGAGAACTAACTGACATTGTCCAATCATAGACGGGGGTGTTGAGCTCCGTATGTAGAACTGATGCATCAGTACCAATACTCAGCCAAAAATTTTTACCACCAGTGCCAGGACAGCAGAATAGTACATCTTTCTTCTCAAGCTGATCTAACCTCAATGGAGAAGTAGATATTTTTGCCTCCTTCATAGTATTCTGTCGAGCAGGTACACCTTGATCAGCAAATGATTGATCCTTTCCCCAGACAGAGGCGGAACCTTGAACCACTGAATGTCCCCATGCATATAGAGTTTGAGAATCATCAATCCATGGACGAACTTGCAAACAGCAATTAGAATCTCTGGACATGCTTCTCCAAGGTAAAATAGTAGCAGAACCAGGACTAGTTGCATTAAAAACATCAGTAATAGCAGCAACCTGATCATTAACTTGCTTCCTTGTACGGGTCCAACGCCTTCGGCGGAATTTATGAAGATTGGATTTTGTAGCTGAATTTGGTGGCCATCTGCAATTGTGATGGTCAGGCCCATATGCCCAGCCATCATCATCAACACAATAAGACTTGTCAACAGTCCATGTTGATGCCCATGTCCATCCAGGCGGAATGCGAGGTTCAAAGAAATCCTAAAAGTAAATCAGATGGCAAAAAATCAAATGGACGGAAAATGAGATCTAATGCAAAGTGTATCATCTTGCAAAGTTATAAACACTCACATCAGATGAATATGAGAAATCTCTACTACTCCAACGCCTGGGGCCATCGTCTCCCAAACTAGGCCTGTGATTTCCCCAACCAGATGGATGATACCATTGATTTTGGAACACTTCTTCCACAAAAACATTAGCATTGCTTCTCTGAAGGTTTGGATCACGAGTTTGACCCATAGAATAATGGCATATTGAGATGTCCAACTTTATATCCGAATCATTTATAACTGTTGCAAGACTCCTCAAAACAGCATGTTTTTTTCCATTTTTCATGAGTACTTCTACAGCCATGAGATCATCCTTCAAAGTTCTAGTAATTACTGAGAGAGGAAGAGAAGACCGAAAACTCTCCCAGGAACCTTCTGGAGCAAGTCCCACAGAGAAACCTATATCTCTAGCAATATCGCTGCCTCCTCCCCGATCACTTTCGAAGTTTGAAACTATTTTCCCTTCATAATAAGAAGCAGAAACAAGAACGGATCCTTGGTAATCATCAGTGTCTTGGCCCTGAAGAAAACAAGCATAAGAATACATAAAGTTCACTAACGATGCTTTCCCAAATTCAAACAGAAAGACTGATAGCATCAATTAGACTAACCCTTTTCTTAAGTGGATAGGATACAGTGTTCTGAAAATCATAAGCTTGATGCAACATTTTGACTGAAGCAACCTTCTTCAGAGTACTTGCACCGTGTCCTACCGAAAATGAAGATGCACCTACAACCTCACCTGCATTATACCAGTTAAAACCATTAGGGATAATAGCATGTCTTTCTCCATTTAGAATACAGAAGCACCAAATATTTGTTTATTCAGCGCAACTTGGGCTGCTAAAAACCAACATATATGATCAACTTCAACTCTTTAGATCATCTAAGGCATAAACACCAGAACAAGAAGCAAGTCACATGTTCAGGTAATCATTTCGTTTAATGGGTACTATAAACAAGTTTTCAATTAATCAAAAATGAAACTTAAAGTAAAATGCAATATTTAGTAACATCACTACGAAGTCTAATCTAACATGGCAAACATCAGGCACCTTTTCCAGCCTTTGCTGCAAGGTTCGTCACCTCCATTTCCAACTTAGCCAACCCCTGGGAGAAATGCAAATAATGTCAGAAAAAAAAATCATGGTCTCTCTCTCTCTCTCTCTCTCTCTCTATATATATATATATATATATATATATCTAATAAGCTACAGTGAACACCTTCCGAGGAACTTCAAAAATAAAGAGCTCATTCCATTTAGCAGTGCCTTCAACCACATCCTTCGATTTAACAATTGATGGCTTCACACATTTTGTTCTTGCACTCTGGGGAAAAAGCTTTTGCTGACTTAATTCCTGATTCTCTACAACCAGACGCAAAGCACAGAAGAAATTGTGGCTGTTTCCATCATCAACAACAGGCAAACCCTGTGAATGCCAGAATAATCACCCAAAATTGAAACAACCAGTAGAACTCAATCTCAGCTAGCTATTGAAAAAAGTTAGCAATGTTCAGAACCTTTGCTTCTACAATCTGCACAGCAACATAACGACGTGGTTCCCTTGACTCATCTGCAACATTTAATCTGTCGGAATACCTTGGAGGCGGAAGCCATACTGAGGCACAAGAATCATGAGGTAATAATTCAACTGTATCAAAATCTTGCTCAACTCTTTTGATAAAAACATCACGCCCAAGTTTATTTTCTATTATCACAGTCTGGAAATCATCCTCATCCAGTGCTGAGAAAGTTGCATCATCACCATGTCCATCATGAAGACTAGCTTCCTGCAAGACCCAATAACCTAGTAAGCAACCTATAATAAAATGAAGCAACCATGGAGATTTAGAGATACATTAACCTCAATTCGTTTCACTGATTTCTCTTCTAGTTCTCTCTGTTTTCTCCATGAAGTGATGGTTTGCACAAATGTCTCAAGATTTGCTGCACTAAGATTGATATTTAGAACACTGGTAGCAGCAAGGCGCATTCTGTTGCCTATTCTTGATGGCAAATTTAAATTTGTCTCATAGGTTTCAAACCTGACAAAAAGCAAACAATGATGTTTATACAAAAATTATAAATTGCAAAAAACTTTGTCAGGGAAAAAAGGTTGTAACAATACTTAAATATTCCTTCAAAAGGCTCGACAAGTGGCTCCCACGCTTCTAATTGTGTGTTAAAAGTTGAAGCCGCTATTGAAGCAATCAGGACAGCATTCATCGCTTCTAACCGCCCATGTGTTGCAAGCTTGAGATTAGTGATTGTTGCATCAAAAAGTGGGGTCATCTGGAAATGACAAAATTAAACTACCTTATTAGCAGATGCACAAAAAGCAAAAAAAAAGGAAATCTGATACTATTTCCCAGGTGGCACGAACCATTCCACATAAGCTATCCAGAACTGTCAGAGAGAAGTATCTTATTTTCATCTCAGCTGTTATGTTCTCCCTTGCCTTTGGCTTCACGGCATCCCCAATGGCAAATGCCAATCGACTTGATGGTTTTTTCAGATCAGAGCGGGCAAGGAAAGTGCATGCCTAAATAAATAAGTTAGAGTCCAAATGATAAAGGGAGATTTTATAATTTGCATGTCTGTGCAAATCAGGATAAAATCTTGAAATGAAACAGTCAGAATCCAGGCATAGAGACAAATGGACACCAGCATACCAATCCTAACCTGATTTTCAACTTTCCAAATGCTCCAGCACTGGGATGCCTTTGAGCTCGAATATTTTGTTATTGGCATCTCAAGTACATTGGTTTGGCTAACAAGATCCAACCTCGGGCAGCAAAACAATTGTAAATTTGGGGCTTCATCATTTTGAGTTACAATGCAACCCAAAGAAGCATAACCAGGAGGAGCAATTGGGTACCAGAAGAACACTTCATCAAGACCTTTCATTCCAATATGAGCAACCTTGGTGAATTGTACAGGCTTTGAGGAAATCTCAGGATTGTCAGCCTTAAATATGATGCCTAAGGGAGGTGGTTCCAAGCTGAGAAGGAAACAAATATGCCATAAATAATGATACAGAACTGCTAGGTATAATCAAAGGTTAAAATGAATGCAGAAGACTGAATCCTAACCCTTCAGTAATGCAGTCACCCAATATAGCATAACCAGGACGTGGCATAGGCCGCCATATAGAGACCGGTCGGCGAAGATCACTACCTCTATCCCACCAGATTCTCTTGAAGTGGGGGGTTGACATGTAACAAGTTGTTGCTTTTGATATGGATCTGAGAATATCCCATCCAGATGAAGTTGTACCCTGAGTAGTTACAAGCTCACGTGTATCCTCATGCTTAGCACCGAACTCCGATGCAACTTGACTAGAGGAAGAAGAATGATGACAAGAGAACCCACGAAGTAGATGATTAAGATCAAAACAATTGTTCAAAGGAGGATTGCAGGTGAATGGATGCGCATAAAATGACCCAAAAGCATTATCCAAACGCCAAATGCAAAAACCAGATGTATAGGAACCACAAGAGGCTGCACTGTATATGCATTCTGAATACATAGTCGACGTTACAAGATCAGATCGCAGGCAATGAACAATATGAGTAGGTGGTGGCTGCTTTCCTCCATGGGCAATGCACCCTAGAGCCAAATATCCTGGTGGAGCAATTGGTAGCCAAAGAGAACAATCATAATGATCATTTGCATGACCTTCTAAACCCGCTGATCCTTGAATACCAGAAAAGGTGCCCATAAGCTTGAAATCAAGAGGTTTTCGAACACGCCCATACATGCTACTAACAGCCACAACAGTCTGTGAAGGAGGACTTGGCCTGAAAAGAAGTAACCACAATCTGAATATTAAAAAAGAGGTATATCTATATCCAAATCTTACTTAAACAGGTAACATCTACAGAAGACAAAGCAAACAACAGTTCAAAAACACAAGGGAACCCACCAAGGTTGACATGGTGAAACAATGGAGATTTCCCAGAAAAAAAAATGCATCATGCATACCAAAGATGGTATTAGTGGAAAAGTTGACACTTCAAGACAGTTCACATACACCATCTGAAAGGATCCTGCCTTGAAATTAAACAATTTATGGGGTAATGCTGCAATGATGATGCTGACTGAATCAGCACCTCTCCATCTTAAGTAACTGCCATGAATGAAAGTACAAAAAATACAAGCCCAAAAGCAACCCAAGTGATATCTTCTACAAAACCATGTCAAGTCCATTCTTCATAAGTCACCACACCCAACAGCAACTGATAAAAAAAAAAGAGAGCTTCTCTCTTGAGAATCTTAAAGATTTTCATATTTGCAGTGCAACTGTACAATATGAAACCTATTTGCGTCTTAACGGGAAATAACCCTTCTCATACTTTTAATCATCATTATCACAGTCAAGTTGAAATTCAATATAAGGCTTCTGTCACTAAAGTGTTTCTGCTTTAAATCAAGAAGTCTTTATTAGATCCTGTCACTTAAAAATGACTTATGCCAACAAAGCTGCCGTTGGCTACCGAATCATTACTTACATCATACAGTTTAATAAGAAGATTTTTTGCACTTAGCAAAAATTGGACATACTCGTCTACGTTTCTTTTTACTCAGGAAGCGTATAAGTTAAACTTATTTAATCATCCCAAGCAAGAGTAACAAGCAATTTCACCACTATTAACAGACAAAACCTAGCACAAACATGGCAGCAAAAAGTGCATATCAAATCAAGTATTTACATATTCTGTTCCAATCAAGAAGCTGTTCTGATTACCTTGATGTAACACAATCTCCCAATATAACATAGTTTGAAGGAGCTCGAGGCCTCCAAAAGGTGAGGTGGTTATGACGCCCAATTTCTGCTCACAGAAAACGCAGTCAATCCTCCAACTTTTATGCACATAACAATATGGAAATAAGTCTTTTTCTTACTAGCAAACAAATGAAGAAAAAGATGGATTTTGGCACGTAAACAACCTCATAACAATAAGTTAATAGAAAACTCGAGAAAAACCTTTTGGAGACACCCAAATTCGATCAAAGTTGGTACAAGGAGACAGGGGATCTGCATTTCCAAATTGTAATGCTGCAGTTGCCTGACCTTGTAGGTTCAGTAAAAGGGACAGCACGCTTAACGAGAGATGAACACATATATCAGTGGATGTTACAGAAATATTCATCTTATCCTTGACAGATGTATATCCACCAGAAATATCAACTGGATCAAGTATGATAAGTCCCGAACCAGCCTCTAGACTAAGATCCTTCAGAAGCCCCCTAATCCATGTGTCACTCTCCTTTGATGCATACCTGTTGAGACAGTCAATCAATACCTTGGATAATCAAGTAGTTGGTATAGATTTCAGCTAAAATAAACCCGGAAAAGAGAAGGCCAAAACCAAATATTCCTGCAGGGAAACTACTCGTACATTTTGCGTTTGGAGTTACTGTTCAACTAATAAAGACACCCATAACTAGAAATTTCAGCACATTCAAGCATCAGAAAATAGAAAGCATTCTTGACTGCCACAAAGATTGCAATGAACAGTTAAAGTTTGGAAAGAAAGAAAATGCAAGAAATCTCCCATTTAGCTTAAGTTTCAAATTCAAGCTCATTGTAGAAGATTACTGCCACAATACTTCAGAAAAGGAAAAGCTAAAGTTAAATTAATTGAGTTGTATAAAATGCTATTAGGTCTTACATGAAGCTAATATCCATTTTTGCACGAAGAAGCTTTTCACCACGTGTAGAATCATCAACGGATGAGCTGCTACCGTCATAAAAGGTCAATTCAGGGGAAACAACCTGGGGAAAGCAAGAAGCAAATTGAGTGAAGTATTGAAACACAAGCAACAATACATAAGCTAAATGTCAAATGGAGATCCAACTTTTTGAGGAAGCAAATCCTGTGCTTTGCATATTTGTAATCATGATCGTGTAAATCCTGTTTTGAGCAACTGAAAACGGCGTTTATTGTGCAATACATACAATATTTAATGGACAAGCCCGAAGCTATAGACTGTCAATTCCTACTATAGCTAGGCTGCTTATATTTGACACACAAGACAATCTCAGGTTCACGAAGATGCTTAGACTTTGAAACACCAGGGGACCCCTTCATGCATTTCTAGATCCACCTTCAAACAACTCAACTAAAATCCACCATACTTTCAGCAAGTATTCAGCATTAGCATAGAAAACCTGACTCTTTGTTTAGGTTCATAGAAGTTTAATTTTCTTCAAAACCACAAGTTTCACCTGCCCCCGTTCAGTTTAGGGCAAAATACACTTTACCCCCCTGTGCTTAAGTGTTTTTTCACATAAACCCCCCGAATGGTTTCAAAAGCTATGCATATCCCCCTCATGGTTTGGATTAAAGTGTCAAAATGACAGAATTTGTATTCCATAACGAAGTCAACTAAAATGTCAAAAGTAATCCCTATGTAAAGTTGAAAATTATTTATTAACCATAGGGGGGGTATGTATATATTTTGTAGTAAAGCACTATACCATAAGGGAGTTATATGCTAAAAAGTGTATTTTGTCCTTCTGTTTATTCAGCTTTATTTGTGGTCACTCATTTCTTCACAGCCTACAACACGGATATTTTGTGGCTTTCTCCTTGGAGGAGCACTCTGGTGTATGCTAAATGAATCTGACCTCTTGATATACCATAACAATGCATCCTCCACAGCATATTCCTCAGTTCCTAACTCTCTAACTTTTTGGCCATTGTTTGTACACTTATTTCTTAGTTCCTAACTCTAGCTAAAACAGTTACCTCCCAGCAAAGAATCTATCAAAGAAGATGAACTCCACCTAATTCTCTCCGCTTATTACTAATTGCTCATTACAAAGTTCTGTTTGATGACAATAACAAGCTAACTTAGAAGAAAGACTTCAGAACAGGAGGAAATGAAAAATAAGAAAGCTTTGAGAAGTGCAAGTGGCATACTAGCTGCAAAAAGAAGAGCTAATCCAGTAACAATACTAATAAGTGTTCCTGTCCGCCTTGTAGATGTATATCTATGATACAGAACACAGAATATTCTCACATTCAACACCTGAAAAGCTCAGTTATACAATCCATTTGCAGATGATTTGGAACATGCAACAGTAAATGGAACACATTGCTCAAGGATAAGGCCCCAACAAAAATAAGATTTAATAATGCGAACTTTAGGATTTCCAAGGCAACATGATTGGAGTTTAGCCAACAGTAATATAGAAAATGGGAATAAAAGAACTTCAAGACCCTGCTTAGCGCATGTATCTAGAGAGGAGATTGAGTAGCTCAGCCTAGTCATCTCATAGCTGAGAAAACAGTCTTTAGCCAGCAATGGCGGAACATAGGTTATTCTTAGTAGCCACTAACCCAAAAATCAATATAATCACAGCAAGTCAAATCAAACCAGAGATCCAGTCAAAACTTTGCAACTTGCATGATTCAGTTTGAAAAGAGTCAGAGGCATCAGAAGTATAACACAACTCTTCCCTGTGATCTGGATGTTTTCTGCCATTAGAAGACTTACTCTCCAGAAATATAACTTCCACACCATCCTCTTGGAACACTGTATAGCTGCTTTCATTACTCAAGTACGTGTGCTTGGTCAAGAGTGAACCATTCTGAAAAATAAGCAACATCAAATAAAGAAGTGATTTAAAAACACATGCAGCAGACAATGTTTTTCCAGGTGGACATATGAACTAATTTCAGCAAAATGTTAAAAACCAGAAGAAAGCTCAAGAAGGGATGGTTTGGAGAAAGAGGTTCAAAATTCTCCAAAACATGCAAGCCATGCAACAAATACTGAACAGTAGCTAGAATATCTCCAGAAATTCATATGCTCAAGAACACTGCACAGGAATACATCTAGAGAGCACACGCAATAAGAGGTTCCATCATCAAACCCCTATTAGGGTCTTCATAGACCGTGTTGCGAGAATTCTTAGATATTATGGAACTTCATTGCCAAAGATAGTAACTTCATCCAGGCGACTGCAAGCAGACAATTTATTACTCATCCATAGCCTGCTTTTATCTTCTTCCTCAATTCCCTTAACATGGAAGAGCCAAAATTTTGACAGCTAAATTAGAAAAATCTCGAGCATTAGAAATCAGTTAAGAGCAGCTAGAAATAGTTTCATTGTTAATTTTGAGGACACTAAGAAAAGAACCAAGAGTTGAAAAAGAAAGTGAGAGGAAGATATCCAGACACGAGGGGACAATCACCAAATTACCAAATAACAAATCAGATATTTGACTCCTTTATAGAACCAAATATAACACTAGTCAAAGCTTAATTCAGTTAAAAGAAATATGTTGTCGAAGCTTCAAAGTATAATGCCTATCTCCTGGTACACCTCAAATTTTACCCTTCTTGTGCATTTTGTAATGATTTATTATGTATATAAATAAACGACAAGCATGTTCTACTCATTCATGCACAATTATCAGAGCAAGTCTTGATACCTCGATTTTCACATTCATAAATCTCAACCTCTTGCCGCGTCCGATTACAATTATGGGCCAATTTCCTGATGACTGAAACTCTTTGTTATCTTTGTCATCGGAGAGACAGATAGTCTTTCCACAACCATCATATACATATTCAGTAACACCAACAGCATCAGCTACTAACTGTCTGTTTGGGGATAAAATCACCATGTCATCTATCTGTTTGTAAAGCGGAGTCAGTAGGATTATGCTTTTGCTTTTAATAACTGGATCATTCTTGGGGTCCATCATCTCCTCCCTGCCAGTAAGCGTTCCCAAAGATGGCACAAAAAACTCACAAACAGCAAGAAGGAAATCTAAAACAACTAGAATACGAGGCTGTTGCACCCGAACAACAAATGATTGGGATGATAACCGCCATCGACAATCCATCACAAACATTGTTGAGGTGGGTACATCAGCTGTAGATTCAGATGACATCTGCTTCATAACATCAGTACAAGAACCAAGCATCAGGCGCATTTCAGGTTTCGTACTCGGGCGATTATCTATTATCGAAAACTTGGGAATGGTAATATAAAGGTCTGCTTCGGACAATGAAGTCATTCGGTATGATACCCAAAGACCTTCAAGCTGCAAGAACAGGGGATATATGCAGATAAATACTCCTTAAAGAGGATATGAATATGACAAACAAAGACATTCTTGATTATTAAAATGAATATGATAAATACTCCTAACCAAAATCCAACGGTCAACTCTTGAAGACTAGGCTTAAAAATGCATTCTATGGACAGAGGTACTCACAGCAACATGAGCCAGAGGTAATTCCTCAAGAAGTCCGTGGTAAACCTCCATTAGCGCATAGTCGACTTTTACAGCAATTATCGTAACTGTTCGTGACAAAATTACTTGACCATTCATGTTGACCTTATCTGCCAGCAATCTTATTGTATCTTTTGAAGCAGACTTGTGGCCTCGAAAGCTAGGAGGAAGTCTTGGTTGTTCATTTAAGTTCATATAGAAGCAATCAAGAATAACATTATATTCTTTATGAGACATCACGGCATGCAATGAACCAACCTGTTACCCAAATAGAAAGAATGAAAAACGAAGAAAACAAAAGTAAGACATAAAGGAACTGTCAAACGCTGAAAGAGCATAAAATGTGAATGATCTAACTTCAGATTCATAGATTTGCCAAAGAAGTACTGTTCCATTTTCAAGCTATAATTAAACGATGAGATGGAAAATTTCACAATGCTCAGCCTCAAGTCAGCCAAGTTCCCATATCCCATTTCAATGTCCCAAACCCCAGAAGATCATAAGATCAAAGTCTGGCAAACAAAATAGCCCTCAGTGCAGTGTCCCATTGGAAACTAAGGTCTTCATGCTAAAGACCAATGCCATCAGTCAAGTAGGGTCTACAGCAGGCACCAAAATGCTTTAAAAGTTCCAAGTTTTAATTCCATGCATTGAAGGATAACACAATTTAAAGATGCTTGTACCAAAATAAAAGAAAACAAAGAAACTAAAGGTAACTAAATCAATGTTTAATAACACAATTTACCTTCACTTCCAAAGCAAATGTTGGGACTTTCCTAAAAACATCTCTCAAACTTCTCCGTACATAAACATGAATATCATTGCCCTCCCGTATCATTGGTAGGCCAATAGAACCATCAACTCCAATTGCCATGTTGATTCCTACAATCTGAAATATAGCAACCAAAATTCGTATTAGTACCTAAAACTTTGGTTTAAAATAAGAAAACGATGAAAATTAATTACCTCAGCATCAAGAATGTCCAGATGAACAGCTGAAGGATCTTTCTCGGGGCAACCATGCCAACTAAATTCGTTTTTGACTCGTAAATGGCCTAGATCAAGTTGCATGAAGCTGCATCAAAGAAATGCAATAAGTTCGTTCTTTCAAGATAAGTCAGCTATAATTCTTGCACTTATGCAAGTCATGAAACAAGCATGATGCAAATAGAAGGTCAGTAAATCATGTAGAAAGGTTGGCAAAATGGAAGAATGGGTTAGAAATTGAGAAATTGAGTCAAATAAAGCAGTGAGGCAGATATAGTACTCTATGTCCAAATGCTGGAAACAAGCCTTGTTTAGTATAAAGAATATATGCATATAAAATTTAAGATCCATAATTAAAACATAAGTTTCCTAAAGCTTAAGACATCATGTATATGGCAAACCCCCAAGAAAATGCAAGTCAGAGAATACATTGTGCACATAAAAGCACCCACTAAAAAATACCAAAATATTGAGCATGCACTAACTCTGTGCTTGTCGAATTTCTTGGGACTATTATGATTGGAGTGTCTAGCGAGAGATCCAGCTTAATGGCAGAAGCACCATCAATCTCATACTTCTGAATCAACCATTCAATACCTCCAACTTTATCAACAAGTTTGATTGCTTCCTCAGTATGTGGAGTGGCGAGCTCCATAAAGTAAGCAGTTATCTAAAGAAACACATGCAGCTCTTACTCAAAAATGTAATGCACAATTAATGGCAAAAGAATACAATGTAAAATAATTTAAGCAAAAGGAAGACAGATGTAGGTAGCTTTCATATCCAAAATGCTCTTGCATATCACCATATTATATCAGTAACAAAAATGCCTAGATGCTGTTATATCCTATAAAGCATAACAGAAATTTCTTATGGCCTATCTGACAAGGATAAACACACACACTTACAGATAGGAATATATAAAGAGAGGATATACACAATTGTACGCATAAGAGAGAGGGGATATGTTATCTTCATGCAATTGAGGAGCCATTGCAGAAGAAAGGAGGAGGCAGCCCACGTTCAAAAGACATCTATCCATCTATGAATCTAGGACATCATGCTTATTAAGCTAAAGAAGTAATCATGGAGCAGTACAAAAAAAAAATCAAACTAACCTCCTGAACAAATCTATAGAGGAAAACAATTCGAACTGCAGAAAGTCGGCCATGCAAGCTGTAGTCATATCCTTCATAATCATCATCTTCAGTACTGTAAGAACTAAACTTGAACTGAGACACACACATGCACGCATACAGAGAGGTTAATAAACAATAGACAATAAACTTCAAAGTTTTTAACTAATTCAGTACATATGAAATGGATTGGTAGGGTACCTGCACAAGGGATTCAGTACCCTGATTTCGTATATCACAGAGCCACCCCCAAAAGTTATTTGATCCAAGTGAGAGATCACGCAGCCTAAGGTTTCCTAGTGATCCTTCTACACTAGTAGAGCTTGGATGAACCTTAGTCCAGGCAAAACATGAAGAGCAATAAGCAGGTCATATTGCATAGCACAAAAAAAAAAAAAGAGAAATTAATCCATACTTTTCCTGAAAAAGATTGAATCGAGGATTGCCCGGTACAATAAGCCATCAAATGACATGAGAATAATCAATCCAGGGACTCTAGAACTAAATATAAATGTCAAAATTTACAACACAAATGGCATCAGTATCACACCTTGATATCCAACAAGAAACTTTCTTGCACAAACATAGCGAGCTGAGAGCCATCCTCATTGTTGAGAAATACAGTCACACTGTCAACATTCATATTCATATAAAACACAACCCGACCTTTCCCATAGCCCAGCAACCCTGTAACAAATGAATTCCCATATTCTTCGGTCTTCTCTTTCTTCACCGAAGATTCATCATCTGAAACATTTACCGCCTTTGAACCATTTGCCCCACTATTTGCTGAACTAATTTGAAAGCCAAAATTGATCAAAGCAACAAGAGTAGGTCTGTTGCAATAAAATTCCAACTTGGACATCCTAATACTCATCTGCAAAGGTTTTTAACAAAAAATTAGCCAGCAAATGAAACAATTAATTTCCAAATGTTTACTACCACCATGTTTAAAAAAGATCATGCAATTACCTGTGTATCAATACCATCATAATTAGGAGAAGCAGGACTTCGTGTCAAGTATATAACAGAAACAAAGTCAGTGTCATCAGCACCCTCTGCCTCATAGAAAACATCACTGGCAACACTTTTTCCCTTCAACTTGTCTTTCTCATCAATATATGTTTCAGGAGAATCAGGCAAGAGCATGAATTCTGGCAAAGCATCTTTGAAGTTATCATCCTCTTCCATCATCAACTGCTCTCTCCTATCAGATTCCAACAAATCAAGGTTGTGGCCTGAATCTCGATCCCCAACAAAAGAGCGGGCTAGATACCGTGGACCAGAAGAGGAGGAGCCCTGGTGTTCATCCTTAATTTTCAATGAGTGCAGTTTCATCTTAACAGATAGGTCACCTATGCAACGTGATACACACACCTAAAAAGAGCAAAGCAACACATGTTGAAGATGGTAAATACCAACATCTCAATACTCAAGCAAATCAAACAATTGCAAGATGAACCAAAGCTGAATTAATCCCTGAAATAGTTATGCAATCTACAGATAAATATAGGATATTTATCATATATTCATCTACAGATAAATAGAGGATAAATATAACTGAGGGATAAATATAGGATACTTTGCAGCACATAAAATGCACAGAAGTGAGGATAAATATAGGATATTTTTCCTGCCAGACAGTCAAAAAGGAGAAGATAACTTTCATTCACTTTCCCATCTCTCCTCGCACCAAAACACTATGACAAATTTCTATTCTTATTTCATCAGCTACCATTTCTGCATGGAAAAGACGCATAGGAAAGAATAAAGATTCTTTAATCTGTGAGCCTAGAACATACCTATGAAAAACTAATCACTTGGACATCATACAAGAACATAATGTAAAGAAGAATATTATTCAAAATACTATTGAATATTCCAGACATAATGTAGAGAAGAATCTTATTCAAAATACCATTAAATATTCCAGTATACAACACGTAACACACCTTTCCCCCACCAGCAAGAACCTGAAGAATTATACTCTCCTCAGGTCTCCTGTTCATCTCATCTTCGGACTGCAAATTGGCAAGTAAATAGCAGAGACAAATTACACTAAGAGCTATCTAAATAACTGATAGGATTATCATAATGGAAATTCAACTGTAATTAGCATGGAAAAGCACAAGACCAACCTTGCCGTATAACGATAATTTTGTTTCTACCAATGTCCCGTTAACAACAAGGTCAACTGACTTCACATGAATGGCATGAGATTCAGCAAGCTCTGATGCATCATTACTTAATTCTCCAAATACATCTACAGATGAAGGAGCCTATCCCCGACGATTATGAAAATTAGTGTACAAAAACAATAATATACAGCATTTCAAGTTTGACTACCAAAACAAAATAATTTTGAATCATACAGAAGCTCGATATGTAGCCTGCACAAGTCCTCTCATCCAAGCTGCCTTCTCCTCCTCATCTCGAAACTCAATAATCAAACTGCTAAAAGACTCCAGAGCCTAAGGAGGTAGCATAAGATTGAGTTCATGACAAAAATCTCCATAAAAGAATGCAAAGGCATACACGTTAAAGGCATGGTTAAGAAACAAAGATCAAATTCAGACAAGTTCTAGCCAGAACCAATAATACAATTAAAACAAAAATTCAAGCCAGAATGAATATTTTGATTAAAACAACTAAAGGAAACCAGTATAAAATTCAAGGATTAGGAAAAAAATAAGTGCAAAACCCGCTGCATTAAAATGAAGCATGAGAAAACCTTAATATGCTGTCTTATATATCTGTTCATTATTATCAAATCAAAATCTGATGTCTGACAAAGAAACTTGGGACCAATTCAGCACAAAAAAGAGGCTCAATAGGAAGAATATACATCATTGAGCTATTTTAATAATTCTACTGCCAATCAACAATTGAGGGCATGGGAAATGGCTAGAACATATGTCTTGAACAACAAAGCTAAATAATAAGGTTTGTTTTCATCTAAACTTGTGATAATACAAAGCATACGGTAACTCTTCAAAATTTTCCACAGCACTAGTTTGTCGCACAATAGGTGAAATACTGGGCTTCAATGATCTATACCATCCTTTACTTTAAAGACTCTATGGCTGTGTTTGAATAGAGGGAATGTTGTGTGGGAAAGTGAAAGGCAGGAAAGCGAGGCAAAGGAAAACTAAAATTATTTTCCAGGCACATTTGGTTGCCCAAAAAAGTTTGAGAGAAAATGGGAACATAGTGATATGGTAGCAGGTATTCAAATGTTGTCTAACCAACTATTTTGCACAAAACACAATGCAGGAAAGTGGAGAGCAGTGCAGAAAAAATTGAAACTAACCAAAAATACATGAAGAAAAATATATTTAACTTTCCTTCACTTTGCCACACTATCCTAGCAAACAGACAAATGCCTAGATAATTTGCTGCCTTCCTGGATCCTCATATATGGTTCTAGCCTCATATCAAGGCCTTCAACTACTTAGATACTATAACAATAAGTCCAATAGCCAAAAAAAAAAATAGTCCACAACTTGATCATCAAAGTACACATTGCCTACCTTTTTAGCGTCAACACCTCTGACACAAACAGCAAGACAGCAAAGTGAACCACCAACATTGGCAGGAGGAACTTCAAATACTTGTTTACCAGCCATGCTGCAACACATCAACATATATTAAGTAATACTGAAGAAAGAACACCTACAGATCAAAACTAAAAATCTTTTCTTAACAGGCAACCAAAAGAGCATGACAAAAGAGTTTTATTTGGCACTCATATGTACACCAAAAATTGCTCAACTAAAAGGAGCAACAGGTTGAATACGAATGACAGTAATAAGTCAACCTCAAGCAGCGCTGGTAACTGTGGGATGTTTCAGACTCCAGAATGTAAAGATAAAAGCCAGATAACACAATAAAACAAGGTTCCCATGCTGCAACAGAATAGCCAATCCCCTGAAAGGAAAGAATATGATTAGTAGATTGAGATGAAGAGAAATATTCTAGTGCTGATTACATTCTCTAAGCAAACAATTACCCTCCAAACAAGTATTCGAGTATCTGTTGCAAGATCTGGAGGATTCCAGGGGGCAAACTCAGTCTGCAAACTATCAGTCACAAGTTGCTCGGAGGTTTCCATTGTTCCATAAAATATATTTACCAATTCCATAAGCCAGCAATATCTGGCAGGTGAAAAATGGATGCCAAGGCTTGGCATTTGAATGGAAACACGGGTTGACGGATGGCTTGGATGCGGTGCTTTAATCTTCATCAACATAACAAAATAAAAAACAAAAAACCAGTATAACGATAATCAATAACTAAAACATTAATCTTGATTGTTAAACACTTCAATGTAATGATACTCCTCTATCAAGCATACCTGATCAATAATAATAGCCATTCCACACCTATCAACTAAAGAATATATGCTATCTACATCTTGCAAACTAGGAGAAATTGAAGGCTGACATGCCAAACTGCAACTTTGACTATCCAAACCACAATCTGAAAAGAAAGCAGCAATGTCCCTGCCGGAAATGAAAAAACGAGAATATAGACTTTGGCCCTGATCATTGAACTGATCATCATCCTGCAAGTTTGACAAACAGGTTTAGCCAATAATATGCAGAGTCATGACAAGAATTAATAAAAATTTACATACCTTGGTGCGCAGTGTAAAATGACCAAAATCAAAAAGAAGATGGCAATCGCATTGAGAAGAAGCAGCAGTTCTAATGGGAATTCGTACTTTTGGAGCATCAAGATCAATATCAAGAGCAAATCTGAAAGACCGAAACAATAAGTCAGAAACGCAAGCTTCTCCTCAAAAAACAAAGCATGGATCAACAGTTTACAAGAAGAGCTAAACACCCCTGAAAGCTATTGGAACATTCCAAAGAATAACTGAAGCATAAAGGACTTTAGGAGCACAAGTAAAATTCATAAACAAACTGAGAAGCAGAGCCAACTTTCTCAATTTGTAAGTTAAAATAAGGAGGACGTAAAGCACCAACAAAAAGATACAAATCGACAGAGCAGACAGAATGGCAAAATCCACATATACCAAGTACAAATGGGATTTTTTTATAATTAAAAAGACCTGAAAAATAAAAATCAACTAAAAATGTTATGCTAAAGGACAGTACATCTAGCCTCTTCAACATCTGAATGTTTATTCTAAAAAGTCATACAAATTTATAACACAGTCGTTGAAGGAAGACCGTGAGGGAAGTGCGGCATTCAAACCATGGTTAAGACTGGCCAATTAATATGCAATGTTCTCCTCTTCTCCTTATGTACACTTAGGTAATTATCAGTCAAAAGAAAATTTACAAAGTAGGGATTGCAGAAATAAGTCTGGAACCTTTTAACACTCCAGACAAAGAATTAAAAACATAAAATTCGAGTCCCATCCAAACTAAGGAAAATTCGAATCATGTAGACATGGTATAGAAGAGAAACATTAGGCAGTGGACACCAAAATTGGAATCACTTCCCTCTCAACAAGAGCTATCAGGAAACCACACCATAAAAAGTACCATTCTCTCTCCAACTCAAGCACATGGGCTTTTGATTCAACACCAAGTGAGGTTGATTAGGTACCACTTAAAAACATTTTCAAATACTACAATTATTTTGTAGAGTCATAAAGAATCTTCTTATCTCTATAACCAAATCCAAATGTGAAAAAATTGAAGGAATATTCAATTGGCTAACCTGCTTTGCTCTTCTAACACCATTTGAAATTGCTCTTGAGCTCTACGAGTCACTTTCTCAATCTTATGCTGTCATAGATGATAAAGCATTTTTCATTATATCACAAGTTAACCAACAAGAAACTAGATCAGACTTTTTGACACAAAATGATAATTAAAACAAAAACAGGCACAAAATTGATACCTGCAATGCAGTTGCAGTTTCCAGTGCAACAGCAGGGCTAACAGCATTACTTCTCTTCAGAAAGTCCAGAAAGCGATTGTAACTTTCCATGAAAACCTATCAAATCGTTGACAATTCAGAATATTTGAGAAATTCAATCCAAAAGCAACAACAGGGAGCAACCAAAATGTTTGACTCTACATTATTGCAAAAAAATTGTTCCATTAGTTTATCTTCCAATTCAATGCAAAGGTAAGGTTACTTGCAAAGAAATCAATGCTTTCACTAGGATGATGAATCTTAACCAAATTAACCCTAGTGACTGCTATAAATAAGGTTCTTCTACAAGCCAGTATGGACATTGCTGTGTAAGTGTGCTAAATCTCCCATGTACCGAAAAACAGGGAATGAGTGGAATTATGGGTATGCTAATAGGAATCGTGTTGATAACTTGTTAACCTGTCTTCTCAGTTGACTCTTGAAGTGTCCCTATCTTACATGAAAAAAATTTCAGAAAAGGCATGGCATTGGGAAGAAGCTCTCAAATCCTAAGTTCCTGTTATCTGTTTCAGAGTCCATCCATAGATCTGTAAAAGTTGAATGGATTGAGCATTCCAATAAAATAAAAAAAAAGAATCCTCCACAAAATCTCCCTACCCAAAATCCTAACCCCACCCCCCAAAAAAATCAAAGGGTCCAATGTTTTCACGTCCTCCAGATCACAATTTGTGAGACTGCAGCAAGAGAGCTTACTTTAGCACAAAGTTTTCATTCAATACTACTACTGTCACTGTGTGATTCCACTGAAATATCAATGAGTTTGTTTGGATAAGAATTTATTTGGATGATTTATTTGGGATATTTACTGTAGCACTTTTTGTGATGTGATGTGTGTGAGATAAAAAGGTGATTGGGAAGGTAAAAAGGTGATTGGAATTTGTGAGGCAAAATTTTTTTTTCCAAATTCTCTCTATCCAAACAAACTCAATGCATAACTTTCAGTTTGGCTGAAGAAACTCATGCTGCCAGATATCCTGCTGATTTGACTCTAGAAGGAAAAAAGGTTCAATAATACTTCCAAAAAGTAAAGAACCAAGTGCATGATAAAAGATAAATGTCCTTTACAATGACTTGCCACAATTACTGATAATATGGAAAGTAGTAGCAGCATCTACCAAACCAGGGAAAACATAAGCAGATCTTTCTTATGATACAGAAGGTTCCGTTTGCAATTGTATTGGCTTATTTTACACATCATTTATGGAAAGCAACAACAAACAGAGGACCTCCAAATAATAATAAAGATAAATGCTTTTACTTAATTCATGCTAACAAATCTGATTACCGTGACATGGCAGGGAGAAATTGTTGCCGAAAGCCTCCAGTCTAGATTTTCCCCCGTTGGTGAATAAACAAAACTACCAGCTAATGCATTCACCTTCTGCTCGCTGCAAACACTCTGAAACAAAAATTACTACATTAAAAAAAAAAATGCCCTGCTATGGATTGAAGTAAACCATCATTTCATGATACTGCCCCATCTGGACAGGTGAAAGGATCTCACAATACCCACCATCAAATAAAAAATTGTTTTATAATTTCCTAATGTTCCCCTAAAAATGTCCAATAAGCATTCAAGACAGTATTTCTTTGCAGATGGACTGGCAAACTAAGAGCCAACCTCATGGAATTTTCCTTAAAACAAAAGATCAAGGAACTCATTAAATGCAAAAACATACTAAGAGATAACTAGCTCCTTTCGAGAATTGTAGTTTCGCTATGAGTTTCAATCAAAAGTGCAATATAAACAACAGCAAAAATGAGAAGCGTCAAATTAATCAGAAGCAGTCAAAAGTCCGAGTTGAGCTAAAAACAACTAATCGGTATTAACCTACTATAAAACATCAAATAGTAACAGTGTAGGAAAAGGCAATTTACAGGATTTCCATATCTTGTTCCATTCTATTTCTTTACTGTCTAAACACTCGTTAATTTGCATAATGACTAGCTTAAATCGTGCCATAGTAAACAAAGCATTCTGCAAAAGGCAAACCTGGGCAAGAGAGCCTTCAGGAGCAGACAATCCATAGAACTTCAATGTCACATCACAGTGTGTGCTTCGATGCTTGAATTTGGTCGACACATGAAGATTCTCGAATCTACCACAAGCAATCTCAGTATCATCGATATTGATGATCCTAGCAGCAGCTCTAGTTATAGATACATCGACCAAGTATCTGATCATATTTTGCATTTCTTTTGCTGGATGTAAGGTCAAATCCTCATCTGATTGGAAGCTCAATAGGTTATTGATTGCCTGCCATTCTTCTTTAGTCAATCTTTCCTCCACTATCTGTGATCCCTCAGAAGTATTGTCTGCTGAGACATCTTCGGGAGGAGTTCGCCTGAGATTGAAAGAACTATTTAAACCCATTGAAAATGGACTAAGTGACAAATCTAAATATATTGTCAAGAAAAGGAAAAAAATTCAGAAAAATAAAGCAGCATATAAACAAGGGACACAAACATAAATAAATTCAAGAAAATAAACAATTACAAACCATCGAAAGGAAAACCAGCTTCTCTTCCTAAGCATCTTCTGTTCTGCTGCTTCCTTGGATTTTACAGATTCAACCTTAGCATGGGCAAGTAACCTAGAGGGACACATCCAATATACAGAAAAGTCATCACCCACGACTATAAACATGACAATACAAGATCAATTATATTTTCTTTTACAAGTTCATCATATGCATAGTAATTTATCTAGGGAAAAGAAGCTGTTGCACAGAAGTACCATCAAGTATACATCAACCGTATTCCCATTTGGAAAACTTCTGAAGATTTAATTGCATCAGGTATGACAGGTTCATATAAAGTCTGCTCTCAACAATCAAAAGAAAATTTTCTATTTGTCGTCCATTTAACTAGGGATAATAGAGCATTGTCACATCATGAAGCATCCAACACTATCATCTGAATAGCAGATATGATGCAAACTCAAAGAATTAGTAGGAGGCTGAGATCTACAATTATCAAGTTCAACTAAGGAAAGGGTAAATGAACACCACAGCAAGACATAACCTTAATAAATTTCTGTTTGCAACTTCTCTTCTCACTTCCATGGCCACTAAAAACTCCTGTTATGACATATGTACTAGTAACCAACCAATCATGTTCAAAAACTTTACAATTTCAGAAAGTCAAAATATACAGATTCCTCTGACTTCTGAAGTTTTGACACACAAACAGACCATTTAAAATAACTAAAACTCAATGGTAGGCCAGAATCAGCTAGTGATACAATATCAGATAGAGCAAAAGGCGCACATAGATTTGATCTTAAACAGGGCAAAACTCTCTTGATAGATCAGAACAGCAAAATCATATCTTCTTTATTTTTTTGAACAAGAAGCAGAATTTGTGCGCACACACTTCACCATAATAAGAATACCCCACCACTTAAATGTAGGTAAAACAAAGAACAACTCACAACAACTTAGTTGAGGAATAATCAACTAGTTTGAGAACACATTCCATAAGCACAACCCCATCAATGTAAAAGAATTAACTCAAGAGAAGATTGGGGTGGGCGACGTGGGAAGCTCTCTATACCTCCACAAAAGGATAACTTTGGGATCTAGATCTTTCTCGATATTTCTGATAGCAGAGTTGTCAATATTTGAAGACCGTTGTAATGAAGTAGCATATAACAGCACATAACGTCGACGAAGATTGCACAGGCACTTAATCTGGCCCCATGAAAGTCGGTAACTGAAATATCAAGGAGAATGCGTTAATCAAACTAATTTATAGAATAATACTAGTATAAAACTTTAGATAAGAGTATAAACCAACTGCATAAATGACCACAATTCTTAAGATACATAATTTAGGGACTGAAGTCCGTATTCAATTAAATAGGAAAAACCTTGTGTAAAAGGAGCAAGAGGAAAATCATGTATAAACTAACATATTTAGCAACATTGCACTACTGTTCAATATATGAGTTACCACATCTTCTTCTGCTGTAATCCAGCCTGAGCAGCATATCGCCACCATAATGTTGCATTGTCTGAAACTGGAACCATTGGTCTTAAATGAGAGATGTCAACATATGTCTTATATCTTGAAATCACCTCCATAAGTCTTATCCAGTCATGATATTGAGCCTACAAGGAAAGTTCATTACATTCATTGTTGCAAAATGGAGGAGACAATTTTTAAAAAATGAAAAAACAATAATGACTAAAAAAATACTTTCTTTGTTAAGAAAAAGAGGAAGAGGACGGGAGAAAGGAAAAATTTTGGAAGAGTTACAAATAATGAGCTCCAAACAGAAAAAAAACAATGATCAGATGGTCTTGGCCAGCAATCATACACAATTTTCATTCAGACAGACAATTTTTCAAGCCAGTTTTGGAGGCAGAATTAAAAATTTCTCGTACTGAGCTTTGGTTGTGGAGGTGTTCTCTTTTTTTCTTTTGGGGGTGGAATTCATAGGAGACAGAGAATAAGAGAGATGCAAGATGCAATACGCAAGTCGGTATAAACTAATAGAATAATGCAGCAAACCACAGCATATAACCTCTGTAATCGCCAAGGAGACATCAGGGACAATAAGAGAAGCCTTCTCAAACGGAATATTTGGATCATTTCTTTCTTGATTCCCAAGACGGTGATACTTCAGCACACCATTGATGGGAGACACTAAGAAGTTGCGATCTTGTGACCATGCAGACACCAAAGAATTGCCATTTGGAAGCTCATTGATACCATCTTCAAAGATCTAAAATAGACAAAGTCAGTATAAGGAAAAATATAATAAAAGGAAACAGGAGAAAGCATGCATCAAGAAACTGACTATGCAAAATTAAAATATCCGCTAAAAAAAGTCGCATCCCTTCCCTAACTGCTTCTGTAACTAACATAAAGGGAAAATCAGAACATGAGATGTAGCTAGTAACTCTTGCAAGAAGATTATATACCTCAACCCACTCTTTGGGACTAAGATCCTCCCACTTCTTATCCAACTTCCAAGGATCACGGTTGGAATCATGATACACAGAAAGCCTTTCAAGTTGCAATGACTACAACAAGAATGTACGAAGTTAGTCCAAATATTCTAAACAAAGATGCGTAGCCAAGTCCTATATAGAACTTTGGAAAGAAAGACAATTCTACAGGCAGACATTTCAAGTCATTTGCTGCAACAAAATCACACAATATACTGAGAACATGGAAGTCCAGATAGTCAAGGTGGATTCATGGCTCTGAAAAAGTACTGAATTCATTTCATGAAGTACTCAAGAGATATGATTCATATCAATTCAAACAAATATCAAATCACAATGGCCAATTTTCATACGTCAATATTAGTTAAAATAGTGTGTTAAATCAGTGGCTAATGCCACTTACAAAAACAACAAGTGTGTTTGGATAGGATATTATTTGAAATTTTATTTGGAATAATTACTGCAGCACTTTTTATGATGTGATGTATGTGGGATAAAAGGTGGTTTGAAAGATAAAAAGTTGATTGAAAAAAGCGTTTGTGATGCAAGAAAATAATTTTTTGAAAACAATACCAATCCAAACATACCCATAATTTCATGCTAAGCCAAATAAATCACAGGGTCAACTATATCCTTTCAATTACGTGGTCCATACACCTCTAACAAGGAAACATTTTTATTCAATATCATCATATATATATATATATATAAAGACAAATCACCATCAAAAACTTGTAACTCAGTAGAAAGAGCAATGCAATGACAATAACTCTTGTCAACCAATGTTAAACCAACAGCAGAAAGTATGGCCTACTGTAAATAAAGTTTACCAACCAATAGCTAACAACAAATGCACAGTAGTTCGAGAATGCAACGTCTTTGAATAAACAACTGACAAAAAGTTGAATGACTAGATTGAAAATATATTTAATAGAAGCAGCTTCTCCACACATAACAGTTTAAACATTCAGCAGTTTATCTTACTTCAGCATCATATGCTTGCTACTTTCAGAAACACAAAGGAAGTCATAGTAAAGCAGGGATTACAAAAATTTAACATAGAATATTAGTGACCTGTGTACAAAATTCACTCTATACTCCTATCATGTGGGAAGGAAACCTATATTAATTTAAACATCCAGGATTTCTTGATGAAATATCCTCAAAATGGACAAAGTCATATAAGCCTAGCATTTCACTGCAAGTGATGCTCTGCAAACAACCTCTACTTTAAGGACAAATAACCAACCTTCCGTAACTTATCCAAAGCCCCACTTGTATCAAAGGTTTCATTCCCTTGCTCATCCATGGTAACAGCAGCAAGTTTTGCAAGAGTAACACCACATGAAAAGGGATGTCCCGGATTGCTGTAGAAATAGAAATGCAGTTGCAGCAAACAATTAACTTAGATAATGGGAAAACCCTAACTAGGACATCCAAGTCAAAGACAAAAACAGACCTGATCCAATCTTCATAGCGGACATGAACATTGCTAATGGAAATTTTGAGATTTCCAATTATAGTAGCAATCAATGATCCCAGCCAAGAATTACCAGGTGATGGCTGCAAAATGACAAATGCAAGATTACATCACCAAAAGTAAACACTCTCAACAATGTTCCAGAATAACCAGAAACACAAGCTAAATAAATTGTCAAGTGAAACTGAAAGCTGACAAGAGTGTTAGGTAAACTCTTTACAGTTTGGTCCTCAACTTGATTTGCTAGGTTTTACACATGGGCTTTACTAAAAGCACAAAGATACTTCGAGAAACATAACAATGTGGCGGGAAGTAGAGAAGGGCTCCCCAGTAAGCCATAGTTGTTGCTTCCTTAGAATAGACTCCTAGAGATTGCAACCCACTAAAAGAATGGTAAATAGTTGTTTTATCACAACTTTCAAGAAATGACTAACAAGACATAGACTACTTTGTCAATGACAAACTCATTTGCACTTCTCCATTTGTTTCACCAAGCAACATTTAAGTGAATAAATGTTGTTTAATAAGTAAAAGAACTCCGTACAATGTACAAGCACAAATACATTCTATCTTGAAAGCCCAATACATAAGCCCCATTTGAAAAGCCCAATTTCTAAGTAAACTTCCCTGGAGAAATTATGCCAAGCATACCTTAGTTTCAGTTAGGAGTCAATTCACTATCATTTTATTTTTCAACTCTAACCTTGATCATTTGATGCATGTCAACAGCTAGAATTCCATAAAAGGAAAGACAAGTGCATGAGATAAAGTAAAAGTCAACATTTATGAAACTTAGGACAGTAGACTGCAAACCAGAGGTTCTCATTACATATCAAACCTGTGACTTTCCAGCTCCAAAAAAAAAAAAGCACAGTGTAGTATTGCATCAAGGCTAGGCCTTATTGTTAGAATCTGATAGTACCAATCCACTGTTTTCGTAATTGCATCAAACTAACCGAAAGACCGCAAAGAAAGACCCAGTACTTTTTAGTACAATAACCATAATGGTTTCATTAGCTTGTAACTTCAAGAAATCAGAGGAAAAGAAATTGTGCTTACATATCAACCTTAGTGAGGTAAACTGCATTTGACCGAAAACAAAGGAGGATTACTAATGCAGGGTGTATCCTCTCAATACATCAACAGCATAGGGGATGGTCAACCGCTTAACACACACACACAAAAAAAAAAAGGAAAAAGGAAGTTACACAGGCCTTGATGCAATTCTACCCTTGATAATTTGATGCATGTCAACAGCTGGAATCCCAAAAAAGGAAAGACAAGTTCATGAAATAATGTAAAAGTCTACATTTATCTTAAGACCAGCAGACTGCAGTCCAGAGGTTCTCAGTACATATCAAACCTGATCCAACTCAAAAAGGAAAATAAGAAAAAAGAAATGCACAGTGTAGTATTGCATCAAGGCTTTTCCCTGTTATTAGAATCTTATACTTCAAACTAAACCAAAGACCGAAAAACGCAATACTTTGTAGTACAATAACCAAAAAGGTTTTCATTAGCCTGTAACATCAAGAAATCTGATGAAAAGAAACTGTGCTTACATATCAACCTTAGTTGGAGAAAAAAAATATATCAACCTTAGTGGGATATAATTGCATTTGACCCGAGAAGGAGGAGGATTATTAATATAGGATATAATTCTATCCTCTCAATACATCAGTAACAAAAGGGATGGTCAAATTCTTAGCACAAAATAACATAGCAACTTACTCAAGATTTTAAACCAAACAAAAATATCATGATAACACCATCCACGTGAGATGTAATGCATCAAAAGCTGATATACATTTGTAGCAGATAATACAGAGATCATATAGCTACTGTTAGTGCAAAATCTAGTATCCAGGGTCATACGCTTCCAGGCTTTGATCTTGATAATGCTTCAAGGGTGGCCGATTCTGCTTCCTACATAAATAAACACGTAGTTTTGTTAATAAAATGGCAGAAGCATTCTTGAGTGGTATTGCAAAAACCCACTTCATACGGTTAAATATTAGCAACAATTACCATATTCTCCAAAAATATATCATAGATTTTTTCTTTTATCATTGCCCCTTCCATTTTAATCTAACTTTTTTCACTTACAGGAACATCAACATCAGTGTCTATCTATGCACCTATATGCCAGACAAGCTTTTTCCATATAATTATCCCAGAAGGCAAAAGTATGGGCAAAGGCTTTTGTACATTTCATAGGTCGGGGCATACTGCACCAGTGTAGCCAAAGAATAAATGAACAATCCTCAATTACAATATAAAACATGCAATAACTACAAATGAACAATTTTCCATTACATCATTATATACACAATAGAGAAACTGTTGTAAAAAAAAATTCCATTCATAGGGATGGTTATATTAAAACAAAAGACGAAAGAAACAAGGTTAAAAACAGCACCTTAAAAGTAGTAGAAGGCCATTATTTGCTTTATTATATATCGAATACATAATTCCATCATGAAGAGCCTGGTATGCATCTAATTTAATGCCAAATAAGGACACAAAGAAATCATTTGCAAGTTAAATAGCAGAAAAGATACTAACACATGTTGTCGAAGAATCATAAAGATCATGTAACAGTAAAGGCACAATTCACAGGCAATGGCTCTTGTCACCAAATTGTGGGTCGCATTGCAACCTAACTACTCTAAAGCGTACAAACCAACTTTACAGTTACTATTATGTCAATATCAAAATGAAAGAAGGCAAAAATAAAACATAAAGATGCATAAGCATGAAAAATCTTCACCTCAATTTGTTGAAGTTTGGCCTGGAAAAGCTTTTCACGATCCTCTTCCTTATAAAGACAAAGGTGAGAAGAAGAAACAAAAGCAACTACCATTAACAGGATGAACAGGGAGTAAGCATTTCTACAGAACAAAATATACCTCATTACCTTAAGAGACCTTGAATCAGCCGCTGGATGAGCTAGGAGAAATACTCTATCAATAAGCACAATTACTGGCTCCTTTCCAAGACTTTTCCAAGGAACCTATTGAATATAGTCAGTTCAAATAAAAATAAGTAAAAAAGAATTCACAGTCATAGATAAAATGATCAAGTAGATTTTTTAAAAACCTCCCAAAGCTACTCTCAAAATGAACAGAAATTAAGAAAATTCTTAAATAAGCATATAGTAATAAACATGGCATCATTCAATAATGGCAACTCGTAATTCTCCACGAATAAAGCAATGGCTGTTAGAAATGCATATAAAGCAACAGATATAAAATATATACACAATAGAAGGCTCTCAAACAGATTAAAAACTGTAAGTTCTCAAACAGAATAATGCAAGAAAAAAGTCATGAACAAGACAATTCTTATTTCTAGCGATGGAGAATATGGGGATATGGTTCTGGCAGTAGCAACACAGTAAAAAGAGACCAAGTGAATACCTTTAAAGTTATTGTACCAACAAAACCAGCCTTCACCGTGACAGGAAGCTTGAGCGAGTTTAGAGCCTCTGCCTTTAATTTCAGATCTTTCAGAACCACATCACCTATAGAAGTAAAATCCATGGCAAGTGATAACCATAACCAACGTTATTCTTGAGTATAAACAATATAGTTGGAGAGAGAGAAACAAAAGCACACAGCGTATAGTGAGCGAATCAGTGAACTACATATTCTTCTTTGATTAACAGAATAACTGTTAATAAGTAAAAAGCCCAGACGCAAATCAGTGAGCTTTATATTCTTCTTTGACTAACAGAATAACTGTTAATAAGTAAAAAGAGAGTATAGGTACCAAGACCTCTGGTTGAAAGAGATGACAAAACCTGCAACATGGCTTTTTTCTTCTTTTCTAATTGTACAGAAATAATATGCGAAGAAAACACACCTATAGATATGACTCTTTTATTGTTCACTTGGACACCCTTGAAAATTACAAGAACTGAACAAAAAAGTCACCATGATTACAGAAGAAACGTGCTACTTTCAACAATTGCCACATCCTTTCTGACATGGATCAGATCTTGAACAAAAATTTCATCTTAAACTATATGCCACCAGCTATGATTTACTATCTTCTATTGTACTCCCTGGGTAATAGATTTTACCAGCCAAGTTTATATTCCTTCCATTGCATGATTACAGGTCATTTTGATGCACCTCCTTTTCAAGTCAGACTTTTCAAGCTTTTCTTATCATTAACCTACACACTATTTTTTTACCATAAAAACTCCCAAATACAACAGATTTTCACTTAATCCTATAAGTGCCAATCGTCAACTTAATAGGAAAATAATCACTCTCTTCTAATATTGACTTTCAGCTACACACCCATAACATGCTAGCAATCTCGTATTATAAACACAAGTCTTCTGGTTTGCATCTCTTAGTCACCTAGTACAGGATCACACGCAATTTAGCTACTTATTGTGTACTAACCATTCAGCCTTTGAATTTCTCTCACTTCTAAGCTCTTCTATTTACCCTAACCAGCTTAAATTCGATGAGTCATTTCATTCCAGAATCTCTCTCTCTCTATACACACATACACACATACATATGTATGCATGCATGCATGTATGTATCAAATCAAGCCAAAATTTCATATGCATTCAAAAGTTACAACTGAGATATTCAAAATGTTGCATCTACTCAATTCTCATGCATTTTAGCTACTTATTGTGTACTAAAAACCAGTGCCTTTGAATTTCTCTCACTTCTAAGCTCTTCATTTACCTAACCAGCTTAAATTCGATGAGTCACTTCATTCCAGAATCAATCTCTCTCTCACTAGACACACATACATTCATACATATGTATGCATGTATGTATGTATCAAATCAAGCCAAAATTTCGTATGCGTTCAAAAATTACAACTGAGATATTCAAAATGTTGCATCTACTCAATTCTCATGCCAAGAGCTTCAATACAAAAGTCTTGTCTAAATTCAGCAGCTTTAACTGTAAGAGCTGCACAGTATCATCATGAAATAAAAGGAAAATTAATCATCAATACAATCAAAAATTAACTAGATAGACTATAGTTTTCTCAGTGTGGTCATGGCGTCAAAAGTTTGCTCCTATTTTCACCCTAACATAATTCTTAAGCTCTGTTATATGCTTTTTCCAAGTCAACAAATGCCATGAAAATCTCTTCAGCACTTCATTTTACACTCTAAAAAATAATGTCTAGAAATAATAGGTACCATTATATCTACATGTACAGTTCAATTTAAATTAATCCAGAAGAGCGAAGGGTTACTACTTCAGCATGAAACACATTGAAAAAAAAAAAAGTATCAGAGGATTAGAAAAACCTTGCCAAACACTAATCCTTAAGGCCTCTGCAGAGAGACCATGAACATATTCACCCAAATATCGTCGGAGCAAATGCAAAACCTGCAAATAATCCCAGTCAATGTCCACTTGATGCTCTAACAGAAACGTCAAAAAAGAGCTTCATACTAACAACAAAAGTTAAGAAATAGAAAAATCTCATAAAGATACTTTAAAGGCTAAAGAAAAATCAGCCACTGGGATATGGGAGATGGAGAAACAATGGGAGACAGATTACAAGGGTTTGAAAGGCTGAGCTACTTAAAAAGCAAGATAACAATACTGGCAATAGAAGCAGGTAGAACACATCCTTTTTTTTTTCTCTTGGACGCTGAGATAAGCATAGATTGATTTCATAAGCTTTTTTTTTTTTTTGTACTTCCTTTCCCTCCCCCCCCCCCCAAAAAAAAAAAAATAACCAGAGGGAGCTACCAGGATTAGGGTTGGAGGAGAAGAGTGAATCAGAAGAGGGAAAAGATTAGGTTATCTGTCCATTTGGAAGACTTGCAACAAATTAAGGTTACAGAAAGTTGACATTTGTAAAGCAATACAAACAAAAAGATGATGCAATTTTTTTTCTCCGTGACAGTAAAAGCACCTCTTTTGTTGAATTAGGCAGAAAATTCGTACTCACTTGAAGAGAATTTTGGTCAGAATACCATTCTGCTTCAATATTTTAAAAGTTAAAGATACCCTTCAAGGACCTAAAATGCTTTTGACAAGCTTTAGAGTTCACTAGGTACTGAATCCACCATATGAAGATGACCTCCTGATTACTTTTCAGAACCAAGAAAATGACAAACATAACCACTAGCGAAGGACAATAAACTCTGAAACATTTCTTATAGTCTCGTAGAAGGGGAAAAGAAACAGAAACTTGTGATCATCTCACTCTGCACCATTTGACATCAAGAAAGCTCAATATATCTAAGCAAAACTAGTTAGATGACTCCAAGATAGAGGCGTCGATAAAGTTCAAATGGTCAATCTTGTGAAACATGTTTTAACTTAGAAGAACTTAAACCAATTAAGAAAAAACGAAAAAAAAATAAGCCCAAAGTACAAAATATATTTGCCAAAGTCCAACTACCCACTAGAGCAACCCAAGAGACCTTAGCCACTACAATTACCACTTGCATGGGTTGCGTCCTCACTTACCAAAACGTAACCAAGGCACATCACATCCTTTCCTTACTCTCGGAACATGCGAGGACCAAGTAGAATTGCTTTTGATGAGTACCGTGCTGTCATTGCTTAAGCCCAACAAACCTGCTAGCTATGACACTAACAATGCAACTTCATAAGGCATTCCACCCTTAGTTATCAAATTGAATATCACAAGTCGTCCATTCACATTGCACAATTTGACTTTTAAATGCTTCCTTTTTTTTAAGAAAAAGAGTTCCATCTATAGTTCACAGATCATCTTAATCCCACTAAATCTCCTATTTCAGTTGGCTACCAAAAAATTATAAGGTACTACCATCTAGGCACCGTACTACACCATCCGATTCCAGTTTCACAGGAGGGCACCACAGCGAATAATACAACCAATTGCCCAGCGATCAAAAATGTGCTTAATCCATGAAAAGAAGTGCTCACATCGCCCGGAAATCACCTCAGAAAAATAGTACCACAAGGAAGACCTACCCACCCAGCTGCTGAATTTAACACTAATAAAACAGAAAACAAGAAAACTATCGAACAATGCACTGAACAGGCAAACGAGGAACTAGTACGAAACATAATTTTTTCCGTAATCAACAAAAATTTAAAAAAAAATTATAAAGAAAAAAATAAAAATTAGGAGGACTGAGACTTTTCCAAGCATAAGAAAATGATAGAAAAGGAAGAAAGGACAAACAAGGACGGAATCAGTAAAAAAAAAAATGATAGCCATACATGTGCCTCGAACATGATGGCGAACTAGGAAATGATCCTCCCCCTCTTCTTCTACTAGTGCGTCTTCTTCTTAGCTATTTTCACAATTGAAAAAGGGTGAGTGAGAAAGTTAATGATCGCCGTTCACGAACGGCCATTTAGGCTCGGGGATTCCAGAACAAGAAAAAGATTAATAGAATTGGGTAAATGTGAGTTGATGATTAGTTGGTTCACCAAAAATTTTTTTAAAAAAAAAAAAAAAAAAATTTGCGGAAGAAGAAGAAGAAAGAAGTTGCAGTGACGGACGGGAATTTGGAAATGGGAATTAGTCGCAGTGAGATTATATATATAATAATAATAAAATAATAATAATGATGGCTCCGTTTGAATAAGCAGCGGTCATTTCCAAACACTTCTGCTAATCTTGTGGGGTCTCCGGGTCGGGTCCTTCGAGACATATTAATAGACTCACTCCGTCGGATATTTGGATTGGGCTAATCCTTTTTGGGCATCGTTTTGCCCAAATAAGTTAAGCCATGAAAATCAGGATTGTGGTCGTACTAGCCCAGCCCAGGTAGAAAAGTAAAAAAGGGAGACGAGTCACCCGAACCCGAAAGGCAGCGCCTCCCTCTCTCTCTCTCTCTCTCTCTCTCGCTTTTCCCATCTCTTGCTTCTGGACTGCCGGGGAAATTGCAAGAACATTAATATATTTATCATTCCTTTTCTCAGTTCCAAGTACTGGTCTTTCTGGTATGCGTGTTCTTTCTTTCTCTCTATTTATTCTTTCTTCCATTTGTTAATATCAATTTTTTTTAGCATTTAGATTTTTTTTTAAATTACTATTTGTCGTTTTACTTGTTTCTTTGTTGGATTGAAATTGTTTGTTTGATAAAAGAGATTTTGCAACTGATTGAATCCGAGTTCTGTCATTTGTATCTCCGTCTTTGGTGTGTGTGTGTGAAAGCTGCATTATTGGGGTCTCCTGGCTTGAGAAATTCATCTTGTGATCAGTATAAGCAACTGCAGGACAAAGTAGATCAGTGACGTATCCTATACCATTTCACTTTCTCGGTTTAGTATCGAAATCTTTATTCAAGATTGTGGAGTTGTAATTGCAGAGGGCTTGCTCAGGTTGTAGTTATTACTACTCATTAAGGACTATACCAAGATTGGTTTTTTTTTCCTGTTATAGGCCAACATCCTTGCGTTGCATATATTTTTAGTAGTTCTGAAATTCTTCGTTAGCTACATATAGGAGCTTTTACCCCCAAAAACTGCCCATTTTGGCGTGGTTTTTCAAACGTCAGAAGCTTCAGCTATGCTTGCCAAACTCCATATGGTTAAATTTGTTGCTGGTTCATTGATTCCTTTAATTGCCTAAGTGCACATTCACCTTCAGCCTTTAGTCAGACTCGATCAACTCTGATACCTTTGGAATCTTTGCAATGGCTAAAGGCTTGAAAAATAATTATAAGTTTTTTTTTTTTTCCTTTTGAGCAGCAGCTTGGAGATAACGCAGGTTGGGAGCTATAGGTAAGATAGAGGATGCCCTCGCTTCAAACAGCTTTGCCTCCTGAGCTGGCCAATAATGTTATCCGTGTTAGTGCCCTCCTCTGTTTTCTCTCTGGTGTCAATCATGGCTTACATGCTTGTATGTTTTATGGTCCTATACTTTCTATTCCTTCGTTGAAATGGGGTTCAGCTATATTGTTTTGCTTATAATTCAAGTCTTATAATTCTTGTAGCTTTATCGCGAATGCCTCCGGCGAGCTAAATATATTGGGCACAAGGTATGGGGTCCAATCTACTTTTGCTTTCTACTGCATAATGACCAAAATTTTTGCTGCTTTAATTAAAATCATCATCTACTGCTTTTTTCACCCAAAACCAATTTTTCTTGTGGGCGTATCTTTTTTTGTTTTTTTTTTCAGTGAGAACAGATATAGTCCTGTTGTATTGTAAAAATGTGAGCGATAACCTTCTCTATTTTACTAATTTGCAGCAACACAACACTGAACTTTTAGTTGGCATGGTGAGGCAGCAATTCAAGAAGCATATGCATGAGACAGATCCAGATAAAATTCAAAAGTTGAAAGATGAGTGAGTTCTGTTGCAACTTGTATTTCATTTGTGTCTGTTTTCTGCAGCAATGTGTCCTGCTTGTAGGGTGCTTATCCTTTCTCTCCACTTGTTCTTCGACTTGTTTCTAAATTTTCTCTTGCTCCAAATTTGGTAGCTGGGTCCATGTCCATCCATGAGAATGCATAATGGTACAGACAGCCTTCCCTGTGTCTTTGCACCAAAATAATCCCTATGTCATGCTTATTAGTATATGCCAGAAAGAGGGGTGAGGAGGGGGCAGGGGGCATTCTTGTTCTTTGACAAGGCTGCTTAATAGTTACCAGTTATTGATTGCATCTTCATTTAAACAGTTTAAAACAAAATCAGGAAATTGACTTGTTTGCTTTTGTTCGGACTGCTCGAGGTGCATTGTCTAGATTTTATAAGAAAAAAAGAGTTGCAGCTCAATTTAAGATTATATTTTTTAGTGAAGCATCTAAGCAAAAGGAAGAGAAATGTTCCCAAATGGATATTTGATTATTCATGTTTGAGCCTGGATGTCATGTTTGGTTCAGCTCTTCACATCATAATCAACATTCCTGTAAGGAAATTGATCTATGTAATTAATCTATGTAATATGTTTTGGCTGGCTTAAGATCAAAAGTAAGGAAATTCTGTTTTATTTTGCACTATGGGAAGTTAATACTCCTGTTGGCTGTGGATTTTCTTTTTCTTTTCTGTCTTGGAATTCTACGGCCGGACCCTTGTATCGCCAGGTTAGATAAAGGAAAAGTAGAAGAATCAGACTTTTAAACCTAATAATAAATATCTGCTCATGTTTGAAATATCAGTGGCTGACCACGCAAAGGAAGCAAAGTATTCTGTTCTTACCCCGCTGGAGATGACTGCAACTGTCTGCTAAAATTCTCGTCTACTGTGCTTTTGGCTTTGCAGTGCTGCAAGGGGACTGATAAATCACATAATCTACGAATCGGAGCAGATGACTGGAAGGAAATTCAGCAAGAGCTTTTGAAATAGCTCTCTGATAGTTAATAGTCTTGTTGGACTTCCTTAAAGCAAGCTATTGAACTTCTTGTTGTAGTGAATAAACGGACACTGGTGTTTCGTGGTTTGAATTAATTTTAAAAATCAACTGAAATCATTTAAATTAACAACTTTGAGCGTCTTTGATCTGGAAAATAATTTTTTAAATCAAAATTTTAGCTAATATACCTATTAAGTCCCTTAGACCTCATAAAATTCTATAAAATAATTAAAAAATTCCTAAATACAACGCACCTTATTTCTATACATAAAATAAATAAGAATTTTCAAATGCAACTCTCTTCATTTCTATGCACAAAATACATTAATAAAAGTTCTAAATAAACTTACCTTATTTCTATGCGCTAAATAAATAAATAAAAATAAAATATCAACCTCATATTTTCCTCCATCACAACTCTCCAATTTCCACCACCATCCTCCTCTTCATCACCCCCCCTTCCTCTCTTTCTTTTTTCCTCTCCGTTCCCCCATCATTCCCTTCCCTCCCTTGCATCCCGCTCTCTCTATTCCCCTCACGACCACTTCCGTGCACCCTCTCTCATTTTAATGATTTCAATATTATTTTAAATTAGTTCAAACCACGAGATATTGAAATGCACATTATAAGGCACATTTCCATAAAACCACAGCGATTTTTCTATATTTTACCCAACTTAATACCGATGCATTGGCAACTTGCGTTTGATGTTTACATAGACAAAAAAGGAAGACAGGCAACGCTAGTCCATATTTGGATAAAAGTTGGCATCCCGTATCCAACTCAAAAGTAAAATTGTGCTCCTCATCCAATTTTATTCGAGTCATCAATTACCGCTAGACAGCAAATGATGGTGCAATCTTTCATTCGACGTAGCTGCAAATCTCTGGTGTTACCTTTCTTCTTTATATAAGATTGTACACATAACTCTCGACTTTGTCATTCCAAAAAAAGAGAATATGGTGGGACACGATTAACATAAAAACTTAGAATAGACTGAGACTCGCAAAATGGCTGGACTTTGTAACCAGCAATATGGACTATCTCACAGAATAGCAACTTAAATCGTCTCGTACACTAAGCGAAGAACGAAAGAAGTATTACAACACTGCACAGTTGGAGAAGCTTAACAAATTGGATAAACCTATTTGTTTTTCTCCATTGTACTCCTCACAAGTTGTAAAGCACGAACAAATTCATAAAACAACTGAAAATCTAAACCTGACGAGTTCTTGTCTTTTTTAGAACATGAGCTTCTAGACGAAGAAGTGGATGGGTTTTGACCAATCACAATATCAAATCCGCTGTACTTGTGTATCAGACCGTCAAGCTTGTTAAATGCTAGACGACTCCCAAGGCTTTCCATCTGCACCAACTCCCCAGTTATTCCATGTTTCTCCCACCAATGCTTTAGAATCCTTCGTTTTACTTCACAAGGCTCTATGGAAACAACAACTTTCAATTGAATACCAAGCTTGTAAAGAGCAAGTTCCGCCCCGCCAATTCCACTATAGATGGACAGAACAGTTAATCCTCCAGGAAAAAGAGATTTCAATACTGAAAGATGATATGCCAATGTGTCAATCTGAAAGCAATTTTTGAGTGATGAAAGCCTGTCCGAAAGGATAAAGCCAGCAGATCGAGTATGATGCACCGGATAGCCGAAAATGCGCTCTGCATCCTCTGGCTCTATAGGGGCCAATTTGTGAGGGCCAACCCAAAGAAGATTAAACATCTTACATTGATGGAGAAGGTTTGACTGTTGTTCAACAGACAAAAGTCCTCTGGAGTTACCTAGCACTCTTCCAAGCCTCTCACACGCTTGAAACATCTCCGTGGCTTCAGCAGCTAAGACGCTCAACTGTTTCCTTGTATCCCATGAAGGCCACCATTTTGCCGTGCGTGGTATAGCTTCTTGTATAGTCATTGGTGGCTTTGGAAGAATGTGAAACCTATTTTGAGTAGGGAGGTTATGAACATAGCCTTCCTCTCGACTTAAAGCAGAAAAAGTATCAGTGCTGACAAACTCTGGCCGAACTGCGTACAGGAACTGCGAGATTTTGACCCATGACTCGTGGGTTAAACTTATAACGTTCCCAAAAAAGAAATAAGGAGGTTTAGCCAACATATCATCATAAGCTCTGCACGACTTGGGCATTGGCAATTTCTCTGGTCCATAAATGCCCATTTGTTCTGCTCCACGGTGAATCTTCTTCTTTGGAATTTGCATATGACAACTACCATATGAAATAGAGTCTCTTTGTGTTGCTTCTGACCGCACTGGGGCTAGAAAATAGCTGAAGTCTTCATTGTATTCTTGCTTTGGGATTTTCAAACCACATAGCTCATCATCACATTTTTCTTTTGGCCTTTTGCCTTTCAACTTTTCCAGGACATCAAAGTTTCTGCAGGAAACATCATCTAAGCTATACTCCTCGGCTTTTACAAAAGATGGATGAAAGGAATGATATTTTCCAGCAGTAGAATTACTCAGACTTGAGCCTGCTAGAAGATGCTAAAAAAACAAAAAAGGGCAAAGGGTCTACATAAGTAGTAGTCAGAAAGTGAAGGAGCTACATATTAGCAAACTGCCCCAGCAAAAAAAGTTGTTACTGAAATTTAAAATGTGCACATCAGTTGCTTTATAGTATTTATATTAGCCAAATGCAACAGATATATTACTAGCATTATTCATAATCCTTATTGCTATTATTTCTACTTTCTAGGTGTCCACCAAAATGATGGTAATACCTTGTCTGTCTTTGTGCCAGTGTCTTCTTCTGCTACAATTGAAGCAGCAAGCTCCGAGACGGGAACTTCTGAACCTGGATAGGAAGAAAATAAAGTGAGGCCGAGAATTAAAAAAAAAAAAGGAGAGGAGAACAGGATCTGAAATCCTACACCTAGGGAGAGAATGCTTTCAACCATTCTGATTGTTTGGGTAATTAACAGGTGGAAAGCATGCAACGCACATGGAGATGAGTCACTGGAAGATATTTACCATTTTCTGCTCCCTTCCTTTTCCCTTCCCAAGGAAAGCCCCAGTTTACTCTCTTTCCCCTCCCCAGTCCTCCCTCAGATCATTCAAGTCAAAGCACAAAAATATCAGGAACAAGGTAAATCTATGGTGCAATTTCAGAACAGACATTAATAACCAGAAAATGACTTTTTAAGTTCTCCGATCAAACCACAGCAGATTATGTCAGTTGTGTGAATTATTGCAAGCAGAAATTGCCGAGTGTCATGGTCCACAAGTTACCATAAAAGAAAAAGTTGGTTGTGAAAGCAACAAGAGAGTAAATCAAACAGAAATACAGAAATCAGATTTCACTTAATTAGAAGACACTAGAGAATCTTCCAACTCTTCAAAGAAAAAGAAATACCAGGGAAAGAGGGAAGAAAGGAAATGGCAAAATTACACTTACCATGCTTCTCAATAGCTGTTGAAATTTGTTGTTCTGAAAAACCCATTTCAAATAATACAAGTGTCTTCTCCATTGTTCCAAACAATGCTTCAGTGCTGAATTGCTGAAAATTTGTAGCTCAACTCAGCATAACTAACCAAGTGTGTGGCTCCAGAATGGGAAGTTTACAATATTCTGGGTTTGCACATATCAAAAGCGTACAGAATCACATATATACGAGAATTTTCACATGAAAAGGCTACCTCTCATTCCGTGAACATTCATCTCTGACTAAATAGTCCAACATGACAAAAACCACCCTAAATCTACCCATCTCACATGGCAGGTACAAAGAATCAAAGCTTCACAATTCACAAAGGCTAGTCAGGCTAGAGTTGTCCCATCTCTATACATGCATGTCTATATCCTACTCTTTCAAACAGATTGGATAAATCCAAAACAAGATGCTATTATTCTGGACACAAAGTATAGATGTAAAAGTCGATACTCAAAAGTGAGAGCCAACCACCATATGAGAAAGTCAATCATTTCCTATTCATCCTTTATATAATTTTCCAAACGGTATCACAATTTATGCCTCCACTCCTCAGGCACACGTGCGCATTTAAGAACACATAGCATGATGAAGCTTTATATACCCATTCCATCCACTCTAGATCCCATCAATTTAAAGAACACATCAAAAAGGAGACAGTAGTAGACTTGTAATATCACTCCCAGCTCATTACCACAGGATGCAATACTTCAAAAGTTCACCATAAAGGGATCAAGACTTTGTTGAATTCCATGTATTCAAATTTTTTTGAATTCATGTATTCAAATTTGAAAACAAAGTGAGCTTATACAAATGCAAATGAAGCTACAACATTTATTGCTTAATCAAGCTAGATGCTACATGAAAAATAATAAATAAGAGAATCCTTTGGAGCCCCAAACTGAATAAGAAAACTTAAGGAATGGTTAAAAAAAACCTGGTCCTTTCCTACATCACTAGGAGTAGGCTTATTTACACCTTTTGCATAGTTGTCAGCTATCTGAGCAGCAAAGATAAAATCTACTAAATCACTGATAGGAGCATCTACACCTGTTTTGCAACAGAAAGACAACTTATGACATTTTAAGTATCAACACAAATCAGATCTGCAGTAAATTTGAATAGCATATAGTGCATCCTGATGTCATGGCAAGACATACGAAAGCAAAAGGTGCACACAAGTGAAATAGATGAAATAATGGGCATCAGAATGTTCAGAGCTAAAGCAAGCACTCGTAGGGCATTGCCTCAAAAATGAAAGTCAAGAGCTCACTCACAATGAAAGGAGCTATTAAGGACCTGAATATCTCTCTTGCAAAGAGAAAGAATACATATATTCACTACAGGTGGAGAAATGCTCGCAGGTTGCCCCTCCCAGCCCCCCATAATGTCGTCTCCAGCTTAGGATATTTTGATACTACTCAAGCAAACACATGACAGCACCAGACTCAAGTAAAGTTGGAGGTAAAACAATTTTCCCAACTAGAAATGCCAAAAGGAACCTTGTGTACAAATGCTATATCAATCTCCTTTCACTTGTCATCTCTAATTGTGGTTATATGAACGCATAAGCAACCGAAAGCAAGTCATTAAAGTCAAATTTTGAGACATTGTTGGACTTTACGGTAAATAGAAACGCATGAAATTTAGAACCTTCCTCTTCGGCATCAATAGAAAGAAACTTCCACCTACCAAGCTCATTCATTGCAAACTCCACTTCATCTTTAGAGAAACTCATTGCGACCAAGGATGCCTTTTTCTCGCTCATGACACTATCTACATCAGGCTCCTGCAAGTAGAAATACATTCAGTGGTAGATGCAAAGTATCATTTGCCTTATGAGCTCTTATAATCATTTTGATATGCAAAATTGGTAAATACAGTAGCCTAACGGAAAAATAATGACCTTCATGATTTCCTAAACGAGTCCGCATCATCAATGCAAACACTCTCCTGTTTTGCTTGATATTAGCTTAACCAGAATAGTATCCTCAATTAAGAGTGAACGATCAACTTCCTCAAAAAACAACCAGCATAGCACACAACTACAATTCCAGAATTTATATCACATGAGAGTACTGATGCAAGGGAAATGCAAGTCAACTTGATTCTGCTTCCAACAAGTTAGTTCTTAAATGCAAAGAGAGTGATAAACAAGTTGGCTAGACATTATTCAGAAAATTTGCAGTTGTCGATAAAATTACAAAATTCCTATTTCTCTATAAGTTGCCCCAACTTTTATTTTCCATTTAATCATTCTTGACAAATGGGCTATGGCTTCCCATTGACATTGGTGGCTAAGTTTATTGATAAATCTTCAATAAACTTCAATACAATATCAACCAAACAACCTACATAAAGTTTAGTGCTACAGAGAAGGCATTAGAAGAAGCAATGGCCAATAAATTGGCATCCAATGGATTGGTCTGGACATGCATGTTTTAATCAGTAAAATACTTGTCACTGCTGAACACATACAAGAAAGGTCAACAACAATGATAAGGACAAGTAAGAGCATTAACCTATTGCATGAAGTCCACATGTACTGGTCGATGATGCTGAAAGTAACTTCACAAAAGAAGGAAAAATAAAAAAGAAAGAAAGAAAAAGCAAAAAACTGCAAATATACAAATGACAATAGCTACCTCTTTCAAGAATACATCTCTATTGCGATCGAAGTGACTGCAAGTTTCCCGATCATCCCCAAACAAACTATCCAGAGAATCTGATGAGTCTGATATATCAACAGTCTGTTTGAGTTACAAAGCAGATATCATTAGAAATTTTAGAAATGGCATATTTAAGTGAAAAGTAACATAGCTTTGTTGTAGTAGTAAATATTGCTTGTGTGTGGTGAAATATCCTATGTTTGCTTGAATGCCTTTATCAAAAAGGTAAACTAGCTACAGATATGGATCGAAATCAACTGATTAAAGTAAATTTACAGAAAAAAAATTCCTCTGAAAGATTAAAAGGAAAAAAGGCCATATACTTGGGGAAATGGAGCTAAAACATACCTAGCTATAGCTAGGTTGACAAAGTCTGTGTTGATATCCTAATTTTTATAGGTAAGGCAAAAAGAGAAGTGGCTTTTACATCTCTTAGCATCTAATGAAAACAATGGCCATGCAATTTTGAAAACTTGTGCATTGAGAGCTTAAAATATGGTGTAATAACTGATGTGGTCAACAAACAAGTGCATTAATCAGGTGCCTTGGAAGTGCAAATGCAGATCAATTCACTGGGATCTTGTTTTTAGTGCATAAAGTAGAATTACAAGGTCAATAAAAGCAATTTGGAAGAAGCAATTATGACTAGATAATTCAAAAATGGAACCAAAGGTCAAAAAAAGAAAAAAAAAGATAAGCAGATAAGAAAGTAGAAAAATGGATGTATATGATACAATGTCAATAACACACTAAAAAAGTATAATAAGACCTAGACCAAAAAAAAAAAGCCATCTCCACAACTCGAAGTTGATAAAGTGAACAGTTCCGGCTGGTCATCCAAAATGTGTAAATTCATTATTTGGATAGAAAGAAAAGAAAATAAACCAGCATAAAGAGCAGGTTACCTCGCTTGCACCACAATCTGCAGGGAGTTTATTATTGTTGTGAAATAAGGCATCAACTGAATTACAATGCTCAGATTTTGGTTTTTGAGGAGCCTATTTCATTCCAAAAGACATCATGGCTAGTGAGCATGGATCTTGGCAATAACAGGCAACAATATAAACAAACTGATCAACCAGAACAAGCTCTAAAAACCAAAAACAAAGGCTATGAACAAATAAAAGTCTTTGGGTGAAGATAAATTTACATCCAAAAAATACTGGGGCCACTGCCTCACAAAATTCTTCTTTGGGTATATGTAAGATGATTTTCATTGATGGAGTTCTACTTCAGCTCAATAGGCAGACGCCCATGTTAACTGAAGTTGATATAAGGAGAAGGTTAATTTATACCAATACAGCTCCAGAAGGCTATGATTTTCAGTTAAGTTCTAATAAGCACATCCAGCAAGCAGTTGTAACCTAAGCAACGTACTTTCTGGTATGAAGAGTTTAGATGGTAATATAGTCAAATTTGTCCGAATGCTTGACTAATCCTGAAGCACATATCTATTTCTTGTGCTTCACTTATTCCCTTCATGGTTCAGAACGACACCTCAATGTCCAGATGAAAAGATAAAGCAATCCACTCAATTTTAGTATCCTAATGCAACAGCTACCACAATTGTAGCATAAATACCCAACCCGGTTAACCATACTCAGCCAAACGTGCCGAAAACTATTCATTTTACCTTACTGTTGCCCAAAGGACAATAATAGCCTCATGCAGGCACGAAATCCTGAAGCACCAGACTTCAACTAAATCACTATCTAAGACTTGGAAAAGCTGCTTCTCAATCTCGCGGTAGAATTTTACAGGTACAACTTCGAATGTGATAGGATGTAAGTCCTCCATCTTTCACTGATAATTCACACAACCAAACCTTTTCCTTCCTAAAGACTTGGTTCAACTTGCTAAGGATGTTATCCTTAAAATTTACATGGAGATAAAAGAAGTCTAGAGAAGAAGCAACTAAAAAGACAAAAAATAAGCAGACACACACTAAACTGTCTAGCAGCACTATGTTGCCCAAAAACTGATGGTGGAATTAAGCAAAACTAGAGTTCAGCCAACCTAGGTCTGGTACTTGGCTCATGTAACTGCAAATGCATTGTACTCAACTCAGTAATATGTGCAAGTGCCTTTCAGCAACCATTAAAGACCACAGTTTCAAAATTTGATCTAGATTTTGAAACTTTCATGCAAAGCAACTGACAACTAAGCTTCCCACATGAAGTTACCAATTGAATCAACTCTTTAACTCATATTCAATATGGTCATTGGTTGTTACTTTGGACCAAAGAAAGAAATTATTTCTGTTAACCATAGAAAGAGGGGAAAGGGGAAGAACAAATTGAACAAACAAATAAGGAGAATGTGATGCCATAAAACTTGTTCAAAGAATGTCAATCATATATAGTCTTGTAACTCCGACAATTAGACAAGGAAACTTTCCATAACAGCACTGCAAGGGAATTCCAAGCAACCAGAGCTCAGATGAAGGAAGAATAACTTACAGAATATGCAAAGAGAGTCTGCAATATCAAGTCAACATTGTCTTCGCCTACATGAGAAGAAAATGTCCTATCATTTATTGTTTTGTCAGAAGATGATGACAATGATGATCATGATAAATAGAGAATTATCTCTCAAACACGAGATTGCCATATTTAGCCAACTCAGTGTATTATTACTTGAAACTGTGAAGGAGCAAGTCAGTTTATGTAGACATACCATGTTCTCTAATTGCCCTGTCCACAAGATATGGTTCAAATCCCATCTCCATGATGAAAGATCTTGTATTGCTGGATGATGAGCTTGCAACATTGTTCTACATAAAGATAAAATCCAAAATTACTACCTAAATCCAGAATTATATGCTACAGGGGTTGCTCTTAGTTTGCCGGACTACGAAGCAAACGGAATAAAAGAACTTAGTGGAAACTGACTGAGCACGAAGCTGCATAAATGAAAGAAATCAGCAAACTAGAGCTTAACCAGAACACGTTCAAAACAGAAAATCCTACTTGCAAGGAAAATTATTTAGTATGTCCTATTTTTCTCCCTTCTGTTTGTCCATAAAAGAAGACTTAAAAAACTTCCGCAAATTGAAAACCAATTGATTTAACGTTGAGCTCTTATAGACACATTTCACATACCACCATAATCCTTGAGTGCACATTCTCAGATGGCAATGGCACGTCATAACTCAAAGGCTCAACTTTTGGCATAGTTTGAACATCAGTCTGTTGCTTTGACGAATTTTCGCCATCTGTTAAGTCTGTCATCTGATGCTACAAGGAAGATATGATAAGGGAGCAATATGACAAATTGTTGAATTGCAAGGGATGCCAACCAAACTCTTGACAACTACTATATACCCAAAAAGAATCTAATCCAGCAAAAAGCCCAAAAGGGTTAGAAAACTGAAAAAGTATGAACCCGTGAATCATTGAATGAAGATAAAAAGTAATTTAAAGAAGCAACAAAAACCTACCCTTGAAAACTACTAGTATATAATCATGGTAAAACGAAAATTATACTCAGTTTTTTCAGTTTTTTTCTCCCTCTTTTTTATTCTTTGGTAAAAAAAAATTATACAAGAATTGAAGCAGGCATGAATAGAGATTCACGCAATTTCTCTCTCTTCATATGACAGTCACACATAGACACACAAACATGTATGACGGGTAAGGATCTCTCCACGTATATGATCATAGGCATCTCAGATCAGTGTACATACACATGCACGTCATCATATAACTTCTTCTATTGAAGTTTTAAAAAAAAAAAAAAAAACATTGCAATTCTCCATCATCTTATAGAAAATGTGTTACTCACCACTTTTTTCCCTTTTTTTTTGGGGCAATGCAAATGCTCGCTAGCTACAGTTATCTCAGACGAAGATTTTTCTTTTTTCTTTTTTTTTGTCAAGAAGAAAATAGAAAACTATGGGTGCATTTGAAGGGGCAAAAATCCTGAAAATCGGGGCATTGATCGTAGGAACTCATGCATGCATTGAATTGAAGAAGCGAAAATTCGTGAAGTCAAAAAGTAAGGAAGGAAAAAAAAAAACAGTTGCATTTGACCAAATTGGGCAGAGCTGTAGAAATGATGATCAGGAAGGAAGGGGAAGGAGGAGGAGGAGCAGCTTACAGTGGTGCGGTGGTGGGTGGGTGGGTGGGTGTGAGATGGGAAGATACAGTTGGCGGTTGAAGAAGACAGACGGCAGCCCCGACTGAGAGCCCCAGCCGGGCATACAAATTTAGTAGCAGCAGCAGTACTAGTACTAGACTGCCAGTACAAAAAGTCAGCACAAAGAATCTATCTCCAATTTATTTATTTAATTTAAAGCTCCAAGCAACAAAAATCATGACCAGATACCAGCAGCAGTGCCTTTTGGGTTGGGTCGTGGGTTTAGTTTATATTCGGTATGTGTGTGTTTCTTAACTAAGGTAAGGGGGGGATACCAGCAGCAGTGCCCGCGCTGGTTTGTTCGGATGGTGGAGGCGGGGTCTTTGCTCCAAGTCCACCTGCGTTGATTCCAGTCCGCAACCCAGTTGTTTACGTCCTAGGCATCGGTCAGATCCACTCTGCCTGGGCGCTGTGGAATTAGTCGGGTGGTTTCGAATATCCACAGTGTCGAAAGAAAAAAAAAAAAAAAAAAGATACCAGCAGCAGTGGTGCTAATTCAGTGAGGTTTGCTAATTGACAATTGCTAATTAATATTGCAATTTTACAACAAAAAGATTGTAACCTACCCTTATTACCGTAATATTAATATAACTGTATACTGAGAGATTTTACTGTCTCTTTTAAATATCATGATCATAAGTAAAATTCACCGTTGAATAAAGTTTTTAAAATTTAAATTACTTATTAGCTCTAGTGAGAGATAAAAGTTGAAGAAGACATTATTGCATCCAAAAGAAACCATAAAATTTTTCGTATTTAAATTTGGCCAGTCCAAATTCTTGTTAACTCCTAAAAGGGGGCAAACATTAGGACGTAACAATACAACTATTTTAGCTATAATAAGCCAAAAATAGAACAACAGTTAGTATTTCGCTGATATTGCCTAATGCCTACGCTGAAAATTACTAGTTTTTTTTTTTTCGTCAATAGTCATCCCTACTCCTACTCTTATTCTATCCTAATCTAACTACGGGGAGACCCAACTAGGCCTATGGAGGACCGATGGGGACAGAACCATCATCGGACCAAACGGGTACACCACGCATCCATCTGGATTTTTTTGAATAACCACAATTGTAGCAAGCCTTTGCCTCCTAAAGGCTTGGTGGTGTCCACCAGCCTATGCTGAAAATTACTAGTTAGTAGTAGTACTTATTTGGATTGACATTGCAAGCACTGTTCAGTTTCACCAGACACCTCGAGGATTTGTGGCCTGTTTGGAACCTGAGTTTTTTGGGAGTTTGTCTAAAACTTTACTGTAGTGCACTGTAGAAGTTTTTGAAAAAATTTTATAGAAGTTTTTGTAAGGTGAAAAATTTTTTTGTAGAAATTTTTGTAAGGTGAAAAATTTTGTAGAAGTTTTTGTAGAGTGAAAAACTTTTTTTTCCTTTTCTTTTTTTTCGTTCTTTTTCTCTTTCTCTTTCTTTTTCTTTTTCTTTCTTTCCTTTTTCTTTTCTTTCCTCTATTCTTCTTCTTCTTCCTTTTTCTTCTTCTTCTTTCTTTCTTTCCTCCCCGTTACCTCCCAGCAGCACTCACGCCCGCCACCCCTCTCCTCCCTTTCCCTTTCTCCTCCCGCCATCCCCTATGCCCCTTTCCCCTCAGACACCGCGACCCCCTCCCCCCGCCACCCCCTGCCCTTTCCCCACTCCCTCTCCCCCCGCCACCCCCTACCCTTTCCCCAGTTTCTCCCGCCACCTCCCCTGCGCGATCCCCTCCCCTGCCACCCCCCCCTTTCCCCAGCGCGACCCCCTCTCCCCGCCACCCTGCGGACGGCGCTGAAATAGTACCCCGGTTTCCGGCAAAAAGCATCGCGGAATTTGCGGAACTTGGAACGCTTCATCACGGAGGATTTGCTCTTCTGCATCCAGTTGAATAAGGAAACCATCACGTTGAATTTGATGTCCAATTCCTCCATTCTGGACTTTTTTTTTTTTCCCTTTTTTTGCCTTTTCTGGGCTATGATTTTGCTTGTTCGGTTCTTGGGGTTTTATGTTCATTTTTTTGTATTTGAAAATGAAAGATTTAAAAACCGCCTGAAAGGGGAGGGGGAAGGGGGCGGGGAAGGCAGAGGGGAAGAGGGAGGGAGGAGGGAGGAGGGAGAGAAAAAAAAAACTTTGTGTATGGCCGGAACTGGCCGCCTGAATAGTAACCGGCGCCGGAAGTGGTGGTTGCCGGCGGCGGAGGATGTGGTGGGTTGGGTCGGGGAGGAAAAAGAAGAAAAGTTGAAGGGAAAGTTTTTTGTGTATTTTTGAAGTGTGTAAGTAAAATGTTTTGAGAAGTTTTTTGGGGTTCCTGTAGCAAAAGTTGTTAAAAAATTAGTAGATAAAAAACTTGGTCAAAAAACTCACTTCCAAACAGACCGAGTTCCCCGAGCAACTAGGAAGGCCATAAGTGGGATCATCTCCCATCCCAGCTCCTCCTCACAAATCAGATCATCTTTTTACCTCCGGCTCAGGTGAAACACTACTGCTACTGCTTCAGCGGGTGTTGCTGGAAGAATGTCTCTATTTTAATTTTTATAGTCAGATGTTGCTGCTGCGACTCTACAAGGATGTCTATTTTATTATAGTCTTGAGTGTAGCAGGACTAAATAGAACTCTGACTTCACAATAACGTCTTAAAACTAGAGGGAGATGGGCTCGTACTTCGTGAAGTTTTCATGAATGAAACTTTTTACAATTTTCTTCTTGCCTTTGAAAAACATATATTATCATCAACAGAAGAAGCTTACTACTTTACCCGTAGACAAATTATCAATCCTTCTTTGTCAATGTTGCAAAGAAAGATACGTTCACAATATTACTTGCTCGCATTGTATTTCACCCAATGCATTCTCAAAGTCTATATATTAACTCCTGCGAAATCACGACTCCCTGACTAGGTAATTAAAATTGCTTTAAAGTACAGCAAAAAAGGTAAATTACAAGGTATATACCAAAAAAATTTGCCAATTTGCCCGCCACCATAGACCCATAATCTCCAATACCCAAAAGAAGGTTAGTATAACATCGGGATCAAATCAATATCCCTTCCCAGACTAAGCTTTAAAGGAAAATGAGAATGACCTACAACTACACTGCCCCAGCATAATACACTCAGTTTTACAATGGAAAGGCATCTAGTTGTGTTTTGGGGAGAGAGAGAGAGAGGGTGGGGGGGGGCCAATATGACCCACCATATAGAGCAAATGCTTTGTCATAGTTGATGGACTCCCGTCATCGAAATTTGACCACACACCGACCTATTTTTGTCCACCTTTGCCGCGATAGCAAGCCATGTCGTGGTCGAGAACAGTAGGATCAACTTGAATAGTCCCAAATGTCAGAAAACCAGGAGATTCTGCTGTTTCCTTTATCCTGACAGGCACAGATCCTACTGTAACAACATCAGACAGAGAAGAGTTTGCCACAGTAGCAGTAACAACCCCCAAGAGCTCGGAGCCAGACTGCTTTGGAGTAATAGTGAGTGTGCCAATCTTTAGAAAATCATGTATGCTTGCTTCCCCATCTGCTACATCCACAACATCATCATTTACAGTATCACCATCTAAGCCAGCAGTCTTAACAGACGCAGCTGTATCATGATCAGAGTGGTTCGAATCATTACTTTTGTAACTCATATCATCTTGTTTAGAAGAAAAGTTAATCCTAGAAGTAAGCTTGTCTGGAGGATCCAAAATAGGAACAAGAACTGGATGTTCGTATTTTTTCATAAGCAGCCTAGCTTTCTCTTCCTGTAAAAGTTTCTGTCTATTTTCATAGTACATGAAGTCATCAAGTAAAGAAGTCTTGGATACATGGGTCTTAAATACTTTCAGCATCTCAATTCCTTTCCTGAAGCGTACCTGAGCATAAATAATAGCAGAAAAAAGTACAAAACTAAGATTCATGTCATGGCATACCATCAGATAAAAACCAAGAGTTCATTTAAAAGGAGAAAATTTTGAGATTACAAGAAAGAGAATGTGAAAGGGAGTAAAAAAGAGGTGGAGGGTTCAGAAGCTAAACATATTCATAGTTATCTTTTATCATGAGAAAGCTACATGGAACATTGTATCTCCCAAGTCCTAATAAGGCAATACGTTTTCCTCTAATTTCACATGCAAACCCTCCCCACCTGAAAACAAACAAAGTTTCCCAGCACATTCTCTTCAGGAGGTGATGCACAATGATAGTCGCATAATTTATAGAATTCAGAAGCAATATGTCATGCAATAAATTGATGTTATATCCACCAAGTGTAGCATGAAGCATGAACCCAAAAATAAAAAATAAAAAAAGGATGCAGGAGCAAAGAAAGGCAAAGATTGCCATGATGACAGAAACCACCAAGTTGTTCAAAAACACACAGCAAAGCATGCCAACAATGTTCAAAGCCCACCAGCAACATTCAAAGCCAAACAGACAAGAATAAGAAAGATAACCTAAATTCCAAAAGAATTTACCAATCAATAGTCACGTAATGAGCAAATTAGGAAATTTGTTGATATTTGCACTGAAAGTAAAGGTTAACCAACCTCTTGTGTGTCTCTACTGTTAGTTACTGGTTTATAATCATTGTTCTCTAATATTATGTGCCTGAAGTTGGGGTTTGGCACATCCTTTATTATGTGCCACTTGACAGGGAAGCTCCCAGTCCACTTGTCTTGCTGCCAAAAATCCATATCTTTGTAAAAATCTACAGGGCCAGTCATCTCAGCAACACCACAGAACTGACCACTTGCATTTACCTTCATTTCAAGAGGACAAGCAGTTAGCTTCACAAAAAATGGAAGCTACCATTGCCACAAAGCTTCATTTCAAGAAGGTCCATACCTCAAGAATCGAGTGACAGTGCATCAAAAAAGACAAAAGAACATGATTTCACCTGTAAAATAATAGTTACTGAGTGTCACTTACAGAAAAGAAGAGAAAAATTGGGCAGCGTCCTGAATCCCCATTTGCAAATCTTTGAGCGTCTTCATAAGCACTGTTTAGCTTCTTGTTCCCATTGGGTGTGGAGGACCAAATATTGTACTTAATACTCTTGTGCACATCATCTTCACTGTACGATTTAATAACAAAAAATTTGGCACTGGTGTAGTCAAGTGGAAAGTCATCCTTATTATATCCATCGGTATTAATAATAATATTTCCCTCCGTATCAGCATCTCCTGCCCTGGTTGTGTAAGCTTTAACTAATAATTGATTTTCTGGTTTGTCAACTCTAGGGCCTCGATTCTGCTCACCAAGTGCATCAGGCCTTACTTTTGTAACATTTGGACCTCTCCCGTGAGGAAACGTGGATTGAACTTTATCTGTCGTGGGCTCCACATGCAATGTAGATCCAAAGCTAGACATCCCATTACCACGTGGTTGAGCAACTTTAAATTGACTACTGCTCGGAAAAGCCTTCCCAGGTGGCATATGCTCCAGGGCTTGACTAACTCCACCCTGCAAAGAAGAAAACTTATGTTAAAATAGGCAGGTAAACCAAATTTTTACTTGTGAATTACGACCTCTCACAACCTCAAGTAAAGCAAAAGGAGAACGGCTAGACAAATAGCCAGAGGAAGAAAGCAGAGAGTGCAACAGCAGGTAGTTACATCTGCATTAAACTTAGCTAAAACAATTATGAGTACACATTCAGACACCTCAGATAATGACAAAACTTATCAAAAACATTTTGTACAAGCTGTTTTCTCAGCAAAGTAAGTCTAACCTGAAGAATTTGGTTAGAAGCTGGGCGGGACAATCTGTTGGATGTAACATTTGCATGTGTGATAGGTCGTACGCTAGCTGTAGCATTCGTTTTAGTTCCATCAGATACCATCATCATGGAACTAGCTTGACTAGAAGCAGGCCCCAAAAGATTTGAGGAAAGGGCAGAAGAAGCTGAAGAAATATTTTGCTTCAGACCTGAGCGATCAGCTCTATTAGCAGTAGATGTGGTAGTATGAAGGAAGGGGTCTGTTGTATTATTTGCAATGAGATCTGACCTAGACTGAACAACCATGGGGAAATATGCTGGTGCAGATGAAGGATTTTCATAAGATGGGATGGTGTAGTACTGTTGTGCCCCTAGAAATTGCCCATCAACTCCCACCATAGCCCCAGGAATGTAAGGGTTGTAGGTGTACTGTCCATATCCATAGGTAGGTGTGTAATATAGAAAGGGAAAAGTTTCAGTTTGGGAACCCTGGACAAACAAGATTATGAGGTTAGAAACTACCACATAGCCACAAAGTAGTAAAGGAAGACATTGTACGTGCGAATGAACTCACGGCATATTGGATATCTTGACCATCCAGACCAAAAACCCTGCGGTGGTCATCCCATTCACCAGGTGATTCAAATCCTGAACAAAAAGGAGCTGCATCAACAAATATGCATACATATACATACCGGACTACATGTATAAATGCAAGAAGATAAAACAAGAAGAGAGAACACAACAAAAAAGTAATCACTGGCTCGAATACAACATAGGTGGTATCCTAACCTGTACAGATATATCCATAATTGGTGGCAGTAGGATAATACAAGCCCTGATCAACGATGAATTCCGGAGCTCCTTCGCTATACATGGCTTCAAGACTTG